GAGAACCTAGATATATTTACAGAAACTGCCAAGAAATACAATTTACTTTACAATTATAATAAATGCTCTTTCTCCAACTCTACAGTGAACCTACTAGGCTACACATTGCTTCATGCCACACGATTGCTGCCTCATTGAATCCATCTGGTAGACCTGTAGCTTTCTTTTCAAGGACATTGAGTACCAGCGAACGTAAACATTCTTCTATAGAAAAGGAAACCCAAGCTATAGTAGAGGCCTTAGGTAAATGGAGGCACTATTTAATGGTTCTTCGGAGACAACATGTCAGACAATCGAAGCACGACCCTATTGTGGAGGAGGTGGAACTTATAGAAACCAATCTTCATTATGCACACATTCGTCTTCAAAACGGTAAGGAAACTACAGATCTCACCCCCGCTGGTCTCGTTCTAGAACTGTTCTCCTGAAGTACAAGACTGACTTACCCACTCAAAATTTTGACACCTTAGATCCCAACAAGACTGAATTTAGTACAGATACACCATAAAATGAAATCAAAATTCCTTTATGTCAATCAGAGTGATTGCCTAGACCTCCCAACTGCATAACTTATGATTAGATCTTTTGCTGATTTCCTTAAATCAAATAAGATAAAAGAGATATTTAAAAATTGAAATAAATCCTGCTAGGATATAATCCCTAATATTGATTGACTGACACTAAAATTTCTAGAAACAAGGGAGATTGTGTTGAACCTTCTCTCCCACCCTCTGCCCTATAAAATAACTTTTTGTTTAAATATTTTTGTTTGTATTGTTCTGTTGTGTTGCATAAAACCTAATTTGGGTTACTCTGCTCCGTGTCTTTAATTATAATAAGTACTGCTAATTACAAATCAAAAAAAAAAAAGTAAAATTTTGTTTTTATTTGAAAGATAAGAGCATGAAGTTATTTGTGTAAAAAGAAAAATAAATTTCCATATGTAAATAGTTTTATACATTTTTAAGAGCATTAGCATGTTCACTCATTGATTCACTGAACTGTCATCATAGATTAAAAAAAAAAACAAATTTTAAAATCTCTTGAAAATCAAACATTTGTCCTAGAAATTTTCAAAGTTGATTAGTAAATTAAATAATTAATTAGATTTTATAAAAGTAATGCTTACTTTTTACTTAAAAGACCATGAAAATAACATTTATGTGATGTCGAAGGTCACCAACAGTTTTTTTTTTTTTTTTTTTTTTTTTTTTTTTACTATTATCCCAAACTCTTAAAAAAAAAACAAAAGAAATGGAAAAAATACAGAACACCATCAGTGCAATAATCAAGAAATTGGCATTTGTTTACAAATAAATTCTTTAATCTTCTATAATCAATAGTTAAAGAATGTAATTTTTTATTCTATATGCTTTTATGAAACTTAGTAGAATAAAGTTAATTTTTTATACTGCATTAAAAGTATAAAGGAAGTTAATTAAAACCTTGTTAAGCGATATGTCTGAGTTTAATTCAGTTTTTTTCATTATTTTCTTACCTATTTGATGCCATAATTTAATTGCAGCCAATGACATCTGCTTTAAATTATTCTGATTTTAAAATTTATTAAACTAAACGAAGTGCTAAAAAAATGTATACAGACTGATAAACTATGAACAATACTGGCTCAGATATTAACCTCCCAAGAGGAAGATTGATTCAGAAGCTTATCCTATTTGATCTTCCATACAAAATATTAATCTAACAGTTGTGAAAATAAAAAATCTAATGCAAAAATAGCATCAAACTCTACATTTTTTTATTTTTTTTTATTTTTCAGATGCGTCTTTATTTAATAAAAAAAAACAATAATAATAATTCTCATCATTAGTTGGTAGAATAATTTCAAAATCACACTGAAAAATTACAAGTACTGAAATTGCCTGCCTATTGGACGCACCCAAATTTTGGTATGGAATATTTAGAAAAAAAAAATGCACACATCATGACCCAAAAAAAAAAAAAATCAAGATTATAACCTTACCTTTTATGTGACCTTTTCACTAACCATGAAGAAACACTTAGTTTCAGCACAAATTATACAACTGGTCCTTTTTTTAATACATGTGGAGTAACGTTTTATTTATGAGAACATTTTTTGGAAAAGCAGAATTTTAGTACATTTCATCATGCATTTATCAAAAATTGTTTTAGTTGTTTTTCAAGGAGCAACATCTTCACATACAGTAAATTCATAAGAGTTACAAAGAAATTGATTGGTATCAGTGAAAACTGGTATATATTGTAATAGGCAAACAAAAAACAGAAATATGCTATTTGTTGGTAAATGAAGTCTCATACCAGACATGCAGAAAAGCAAATTCCGATACCTGTATATCAACAAAAAACACATACAAAGCAAGCAGCAATATACCAGTCAAAGCAAATATTTTTGTCAAATCTGGTATTTCTACAAAACAAACAGCAAAATATTGCGCAATTCTATAAATTTCTTTTTCCTGGGTGAATTTTTACAGGGATATTTTTATTGTTATCATGGTTGTTCACTTCCATGAATGCTAGTTTCAGAGATAAGCTCTATACATGCACTGATGCCTGGTGAATCCCACTTTTTTTCATGGTCTTTATGTCCCTCTCATACATGATACTGCTGTATCGGATGCAGAGTAACTTTTTGGATAAAATTCATGTCCAATAGGCTGTCAAATAAAGTAATTTTTTCAAAAATAAATGTTCATCGTAGGTTGTTTTTTTTATTTCCCCTGTCAAATCAGGAAGAAAATTTATTAAATTTTGCAAGCACTCTTGGCAAAAATGTTTTGAGTTTTATTGAATTACTTTTGTAAGGTTTCAAGAGAAATTCTCAAGATGTTGTGATTTAATATTGAAAAAGATTTTTACTGAAATATCTTCAGGGATTTTTCTTTATAAAACTATAAAAAAATATTTGTCATTACAAATCCCCCCCCTCCCATTTTTAAGAGTATTCACAATATATCGAAACAGATTGGAGAGAGAAAACTAACCCCCCAACACATGCAAATTTCTACACATATTTTTCTAAAAAAAAAAAAAAAAATTTGTATACAATTTTATTCATTAATGAATAAGTACTGAAAAATTTAATTTAAATTTCCTGATTTTTGGTAATTTTTCCCACACTGATTAAAATTTCTATCACTATTTGTATGGAAAATATTTCCTGAGTTCCATCAGTTCTAACCTTCACAGCTAAGATCTACCATGGTCCGTCCTGGGTATGACGATAAACTACATCCATGTCCAGGGTAAGACGATAAACTACGTCCAACAGCAAGGCCTCTGATCATGAGGTTTTGAGGAGCGTGGAACCATGTTTTAATTGCTGTTGTTTCCAGGTTCACCTTGACCCGGGGTTGTAGCACCTGTTAGGGTCCCAGCTATGGGTAAATAGTTAACCCACAAACTGAGGTCAAAACACTATGAAAGTGTAAAAATAGGTTTTAATACCAGAAATACTTTGTAAAAAAAAAAAAAAAAATTTATGAGCAATACATTATTGAAAAACAAAAATTACCAGCAATACATTTTTTGAAAAAAAAAAAAAAAAAAAAATGAGCGAAGGAAAATTCTTACCAGAAATAGATTTTTGAAGGAAAAAATGTTAACAACAATGAAAATTTTGTTGGCATTAAATAACCCATTGAGGTTGATATGCCATAAAACAAACAGCCAATCTACCATGGTAGGTACACTGTAGTGTACCTTAATATCCTTCATATTCTATTAGCAAGAAGTAAGTTCAATTCAAACAGTTTCTTTCCACCAAGAGGATGTTTCTCTAACCCTCACAATCTTAACCTGTTCTTCCTTTCCTATCCATATAAACTACCCATTGGTGAGAAGTAAGTTCTACTCAAACAGCTTCTTCCTGCAAACCACTGCCCTATGGAACAGACTCCCAAGAGGATGTTTTCCCAAACACTACACTCTTAACCTGTTCAAGTCTAGAGTTAACCATTATCTTCCTCTCCTATCCATATAAATTACCCATTGATGAGAAGTAAGTTCCACAGCTTCTTCCCACAAACCACTGCCCTATGGAACAGACTCCCAAGAGGATGTTTTCCCAATCACTACAATCTTATTGTGTTCAAGTCTAGAGTTAACTGTCATCTTCCTCTCCTATCCATATAAACTACCCATTGGTGAGAAGTAAGTTCCACTCAAACAGCTTCTTCCCACAAACCACTGCCCTATGGAACAGACTCCCAAGAAGATGTTTCCCCAATCACTACAATCTTAACCTGCTCAAATCTAGTGTTAACCATTATTACCAACATATCATCATAAACTGCATCTCTTACTTTTAACAATCATACAACAAACACCTTCAGTAACTCTTGAGCGGCACTCAAGCCTCAAATAAAGTGAACATTAGTAAAATGAAATTGATTTATTCTTTATTTTTATACTATATTGCATAGAGATATTAATTAAAATTAGGCATACAAACACTACTTGACAAGGCAAAATACATATGAAGTCTGCTTAACCAATGAAAAACAAACGCAAAAATAAAAAATACCAGAATTTTCTTTTTTTTTTTTCCACCATATTTCATTTTATGAATAAAAAGTGAAACCTGTAAAATTTGTTCCTTATCTTATCGTTTTGTCGAAATATATATGGATTGAAATGATCCATATTTGATCCCAATTCATACCAAAGAAAGGGATTGTCAGTGGTCAGGAATGAAGATAAGCATTACTGATAGAATAGGGCTATTGTATGTATAATGGAAATGCATTGCTAATGATTTTACTATAGGAATGCATTGAAAATGAGGAAGAAAGGGTTTGTCAGTGGTCAGGAATGAAGGCAAGCATTACTAATAGAATACAATTATATGTATAATGTAAATGCATTGCTAATGTTTTTACTATAGAAAAACAAAGCGAATGCTTTTATTATAGAAATTAGTTTATATATAATTAAACCTTTTTTTTTTCCTCTCCACAGGAGCGGCTGAAAGTGGCAAAAGTACATTAGTGAAACAGATGAAGATTATCCACAATGATGGATTCTCAAAAGATGAACTTCTTGCTTTTAGGGTAGGCAACTCTTCATAGATTTTTCTTTCTTTCCCAGAATAGGCTTCTTTTTATGAATATTTTTCTCTTTTTGTTTTACCTTTGCTTTCTTTTATTTATTTATTTATTTTTTTTTTAAAGCTGAAAACAGATATTAACTGTAATTAGTTCTGCTTGTATGCATATCAAAAGCCTCGACTGATGAGAGCACAAGAGAATAAAAAATTTGCTTTTGTCTATTTCATTGACAACATGAAATAGTCTCCAAAATTAACCTTTTTGCAAACAGCTATGGATATGATGCAAGAAACATCAAATTTTTTACAAGAATGACTTTCCTGCTTTTTTTGTCCAGTTCACACTCCTCCCCACTCTTTTGAACAGGAGTAGAGGTTTATCCCTTGTTTCCTGTTTAGAAAAAAAGTCTTTTCATTCTCTATCACTCCCAGAACCCCTGTGTGTCTTACCTTGCTTGGCGTGAATTGATTTAAAAAAAAAAAATTCATTGTTCGTGATATTACTCAATAGACAATTCTTTTATGAAGAAGAAACATATTTAGTCCTTTCTTATTATAGTTGTTACACTCGTACAACATTATTCAGTAACCCTCTTCCTTGAGTGGCTCTTGAGCCTTGTATTGGGAACAATATAAAAAGTGTATATATATATAAATATATATATATATATATATATATATAAATTTACTACTGCTTTTTGCTTACCTCCATTGAATTTGTTTGCACTACCTGGCCCAGCGATTGAACTCACAATCCCTCTGTCTCCAAATTCATAAACCACTGCCATAATCATCAAGGTTATTTGTCAGGCTTACAGCCACATCGTGCCGAAACACCAGTTCCTGTATTATCACCAAAGTTAAGCAATGTCAAGCCTGATCAGAACATAGATGGATGACCATTTGGGAATACCAGGTGCTGTAAGCTTGGATGTGTGGGTGGTGTAATGGCTCAGAATTGTTAACTGGAGAGCCAAGTTCTAATCCCCGTTGGGTTTTATTATATTCACTTACACACAAATACCCTTGGGAATGGTATGAATCTACCTCTTCCCCTCCCAGCTATAGGTTAATTAGTAAAACTTGTATCACTAAAACATTATCACCCCCCATCACCAAAATTGTTACAATCTAAAATATTTTCTGGCTTTAAATAACCTGCAAAGGGGACAATAAGCCATGAAAAATGAATTGATGAATGATAAAACATAAATTCTACTGCACATGAAGTGGGGGGTTCGGTTTTGCATTGTTAATAAGTAATAAACAGATCTTCCATAAGTAATGTATATTAATATTATGGAAAAATATATTTAAAGAGTCATATATGAAAACCTTTTTAATATGAATTAAACAAAATATGCAGTTATGTTTACGTTACCATGGCTAAACAAGTCCATATATGAATCTGCCTCTTTTCTCCCCATCTATGGACTAATTAGTAAGACCATTATTATCTCAAAAAAAAAATTCTTACAATCTAAAAATAGTTTCTGGTTCTAAATAACTTGCAAAGTCTTGATACACTGTAAAAAAAAAAATCAATCGAGGCTATTTTTCCAGTATAGTAATTGTGAGTTCAATCTCTGGACCAGGTTGTACTAAATGAAAAAATAAAATGGACAGCAAGGATATAAAAAAAATATTTTCTAAACAATCCTTGCATTCTCTGGATTATTTTCTTATTCTCACACTGCCAATTTTTTTTTAGGTTGTTCGGAAAATGCCTGATTTTTAGAATCAACTTTATTCCTGAATTGATGTATTTAAATGCTGTTGAAATCAGTTGATTGGGAACCCTGAACATCTATACATTTCTGCCATTGAGTTAGGTTATTCATGCCTTTAAGATAAAACTCTAAAGGTTTGGAAGCCAAGAAATCTTTGAATGCAGTTTCTGCATCTTTGCAATGGAATGTCTTTTGACTTAAAATTCTCAAGATGCTCGAAAAAGTGTTAGTCAATGACAAGAGGTTAGGGAAATATGTTGGGTGTGGCAGTCTTGTCAGTGAGCTTTTGCAGTGTCATTCTGTCAACATGAAACAGAATTAGACCTTGACAATTAATTTTGCTTTACTGAATGTGCATTTCATCCAGTTTCTGGCAATAACCTCTGGCAGTGATATTCTGGTTAGATTCCAAAAAGCTGTAATGGATAATGCCAATGATGCTTCAGCAGACAGTCACCATAATCTTCTGTTGGCACTATTTTGATTTTGGAAAGTGTTCAGGTACAATGTCATGATGAAGCCATTGTGCTGATCATTTGCAATTGTCATAAAGGATCCATTTCTCATCACAAGTCACTATTCAATCAAGAAATGGATCATTCAAATTTCACAAATGCAGCATCAAACACATTTCAAAACATCGAACTCTTTGATTTTTCACTGAGTTCATGTGGAACTCATTTGTCAAGTTTCTTTCCTTTGCCAATTTTCTTGAGATAGTTTGATATTGTTGAAATGCTGACACCCATTATCTGAGATATTTCTCTGACACTATAACAGATTTTGTTCGATTAATGTTTTCAGATATTGATTGTCAGTTGCAGATGGATACCCACTACCAACACCATAATACCCAATCACAAGTGGATCCATCACCACATGCTCTGTTAATATTGGCAGAAGTTTGAGAAACACTCTAACCAAACTTGAACAAAAAAAAAGTAAACGCATCTCTTTTCTTTTCCTGTTCAAGATGAGGAGGTATATAATATTTTAAGTTAAATTCTGAAAGACATTGGCATAAAATTAACAGAGGACATTATAATCATTAGGAATGAGTAACATATTTTTGTGAAACTTATGTTAAAACACAAAAGGTTTATTCTAAAACAGGACATTATTTTTCAAACAACCTAATAAATTTAATATCTGTATGCAAATAATTTTTTTTTTTTTTTTTAGTTTTCTATCAGTTTTTGTAATTTTAAAAATTGCTTTAAAACATTAAGAATATTCCCATTTTTAAAATTATTTTTTATTCATTTTCAGCCAGCAGTTCTGGATAATTTATTAAATTCAATGAAGTATGTCCTTACCGGTATGGGGCTTTTGCGGGTCAAATTAGAAGATCCAAGAAACAGGGTAAGTCACAAGATTACCACGTTCCTTAAATTTTAACATTGATAAAATTGTACTTATCTATTATTGTTTATATATTATAGATATTTTATATAAAAACTAATCTTCAGTATATAAAATATATTACTTCTAAAATATATTGTAAGAATTTAAAAGATCTCAGATGTAGTGTGTGTATGTGGCCAAATGGCATTCTGACCATGAGATTAAGGTTCAAATCATACCAGGATCAATTAGTCAAGGAGATGACTACTGGGTAATATCAGCCTAGAGAGATGATTCCAGGAAGCAACAGCATTGGGAAAGGTTTGAAAACCAAAACTTGTGAGTAAAATTGAGTAGACAAAACTGTTTAGAAGCCATCAATGTTTGTGGTAGCACAAAATTACAAGTCATTGTGACTGAAGATTTGAGTGTGGCAGCATTGTTCAACTCCAATGATACCAGATTATTTTCTGTCTCAAAAACTCTAAGGTTTACTCAGCATAGTTGCAGTATAAACTTCAGGTTGGTGCCATAGGTTTTGAAGAAACAGTAATGTACCAGAACAGGGGTCTGCAACAGGGATTAGCCAGTCACATTAGTAGAAAGTGTACACTAAAATGAGCAATCTCGTGTGTGTATAAAATATATATATATATATATATATATATATATATATATATATACACACACACAGAGAGGATGCGGTGGATAAATTGTCATCTAAATTACGCAATAATGGAAATAAAATTCATTTTGACAGATATATTTACCGAAATCACACAAAAATATCTTGAAATTTAAAGAATAAATTTATTCAATAAAATCCCAGTTGGCTTCAACTGTGGTCTCCGGACGACTTCAGAATCTGCTGCAACTCTTCTGGACAATCTCCTTGTTCAAGTTGGTGAATGCTGCCATAAGTATTGTCTTCATTACATCTTTGGTATTAAAAGAAGTTTTGTCGGTCACCTGCTCAACTGCGCCCCCACACATAATAATCAAGCAGGTTAGGTGGCCTGATGTAAGGGATGATGCTGTCACAGAAATTGCCTGACAGTCATGACTGGGTTATCCTGCTTGTGTGGCATGGTGCAGAGTCCTGTTGCCAGAAATAGGGTCTTCCAGCAGCCACCCTCTTGACCCAGGGCAGAACTCTCGCCTCAATAAAACTTGATGTAGGCCTCTGTGTTGAGTCTGAGGCCCTCACCAACAAATTCGAGACTTCTTATAAGAACGATCTTTAAACAACAAATTTCCCATGATTTCTCTTGAATGCTCATATCTGCGTGAAGTGTATCTTAACGTAAACAAATGACATCATATATTATGAAATGGACTAAATGGTTTAAAAACAGTAATTTGATTTTGCTGACTAGATGCTTCTTCTGTAGCTAAATGGTATAGCATGTCAGACCAAGTAATGGCTCATTGTACGATACAGGTTCAGTTCCTGTTGAAGGGCACATATTTTCTATGAAATTTCTCAGACATTCAGGCGAGTAAATGTACTTAATACTGTTTATTATAAACAGAGCATTTACTTAACTAGTTGTATCTATAAAAAATAATGTATAAATAGAAAAATATATACAGGGTGTCCATAAAGTCTATGTGCAATTTAAAATACTTAAGCATTTTAAATTGCACACAGATTTTATGGACACCCTGTATATGAGTGTATGTGATACTAAAATTTCTCACTTGTACAACTGCCTTGTATTTATTTACTAAACTTTGCATAATCTGTCACAAGGCCATAGATTTAGAGCATTTTTGAGTTAGATTCTCTTAGATATTTGGTAATTCATCTTTTTTGGGGGCGGGTAAAATTTTTTAATAATAGTGTGATTTTGATGATAGTACAAATATCAGATCATTTATCCACAGCCCCCCCCCCCCAACAATTTTTTCTGAATTTCTGGGACGAGGTGTTATTATTTACACTATTTATATTTGAACTATTGTCCTCATCTTTGTTATTATTATCACAACGTTTCAGCAGTTATGCTCTTCAGCCTTCCTCAGGTGTATAGCAATCTGAGTAACCTACAGGGAATTTTGAACTGAACCCTTTATTTAATTCACAGGGGTAGACTCTTCCTATTCCACTGCTCATATCTAGGGATATCTCGTCTTGTTCTTATTTTATTTAGTACTGTTCAGTTATTGCTCACCTGTTTCCACTGAGTGCAAGCATACTCTGCCCAACCAAGGGATTGAACTAGTGGTTGTGAGTTCAATCCCTAGGAGAAAAATTTGTATCACTAATCCGTTATTATCTTCCAAGAAAAAAAAATTTCTTACAATCTAAAAGTATTTTCTGGCTTTAAATAATCTGCAAAGGGTTGATAAGCCATAAAAAAAAACAAATCAATCAATGAAATAGTGATTAGCTGCACAGGCATTTATTTATATTCTCTGGAATATAAATGTATAGAAACTACACTGGCCACAAAGTGAGGGATTAGTTCATTGTAATATAGAATTGATCCCCCATTTTATATCCACATTATAATTTCCTGTTCATAAAATTTATAGAATATATTAAAATATATAGTGTATGTGATACCAAATTTATTGTCTTGTATTTATTTATTTTTTTATGCTTAATATTACCACTGCTACTACAAAATCTTGGAGATCTATGGTCAAAAACTGTTTCACATGTATTTTATTAACTATTCTTACATGTTTCGGGACTTCTGCTGCCTTCATCAGCCAAAGACTTGCATTGATTTAATGTTGAAGAACAAATACGAAACTACAATACAAATTTATAAAATCAAATCATTCTTGGTTGAACTTCTGGGATGAGGAATTATCATTATTTACACTTTATGTTTAGACTATTATCCTCATCTTTGTTGTTGTTATCACAACATTTCAACCGTTGTGCCCTCTAGCCTTCCTCAGGTGTATATCAATCTGTGTAACCTATAGGGTATTCTGAACTGAACACTTTATTTAATCTACAAAGTAAACCTGTTCTTGTTTCACTGTTCATGTCTAGGGATATTGTGTAGTTCTTATTTTTATTTATTTAACTGAGCAGTTATTGCTTGCCTGTTTCCACTGAGTGCACACTACCTCTGACCCAGGGATTGAACTAGTGTTTATGAGTTCAATCCCTAGGAGAAAGATTTGTATCACTAATCCATTATTATCTTCCAAGAAAAAAAAAATTCTTACAATCTAAAAATATTTTCTGGCTTTAAATAACCTGCAAAGGGTTGATAAGCCATAAAAAACAAATCAATCAAACAATGAAATACTGATTAGCTGCACAGGCATTTATTTACATTCTCTGGGATATAACTATAGAAACTACACTGGCCACAAAATGAGAGATCAGTTTATATATTCATTGTAATATAGAATTGATCCCCCACTTTATATCCGCATTTTAATTTCTTGTTAGTTTATAAAATTCTGAATCCACCTCTTCTCCCCTCAACTATGGGTTAATTAGTAAGAATTGTCTCACTAAATCATTATCTCAAAAAAAATTCTTACAATCTAAGAAAAAATCTAAATCTGAATATTTTTTGGCTTTAAATAACCTGCAAAGTGTTGATAAGCTGCAGAAAACAAATCGATCAATGAAAACTTCATGCCAGCCCAGAGTTCAATACTTCGCTACTACTGATCTCAAAAAAAAAATAGGTAAAAATTTTTCAGGGAATATTTTTGTAGTTAGCATTCCTTAGACCTTAACACTTTGCAGAATTAAGAAATATTGATTTATCATTTTAGAAGTGGGGGTCCTGTTCATAATATTGATACAGTATCAAATCGATCCCTGACTTTTACAGAATACACTAATCCACTCATAGAGAAATTTATGGGAAAATAATTTTTGTAGATTAGCATTCTTTAGACTGTCTATATTTCTGAGATGAGGTATTATGTACATTATTTGGACTATTGTCCTCATCTTTGTCGCCATATTTATTATATTTCGGCCGTTGTACACTCCAGCCTTCTTCAGGTGGTTGGAATGTCGAACTGAACCCTTTATTTCACTCACTGGGGTAGACTGTTCTAGTTCCACGGGTCCTGTTTAATGGATGTCAGTTATCAGTTATCCTTGTAATAAACATGGCGACAAAGATGAGGACAATAGTCCGAATAATGTAAATAATGTACATTCTTTAGACCTTTCTCAAGTGATGACATTTGTCAGAATAAGAAAGACATTATTTAATCTGAAGAGGTCCATTTGGAGGATAAAACACCTCATATTTGTCATTCATTTACCCACCATGAGTCTGATATATAAAGTTTATAGATTATATTCGCCAATTTAGGCAGGTTCATGATTTTTAAAATTGCTTTTATTTTCATTAATTGTAGATCAATGCTCAGACAGTTTTGTCATGTACGTGTTGTATGGATGAAAGCCAAACAATGTTGAAGTATGTCTGGGATGCATTACGATCTCTATGGAGAGACAAGGGAGTTCGAAATGCCGTCTCTAAAGGCTATGAATATGAATTGAATGATTCAGCTATTTAGTAAGTATTTATTTCAATCAAAATTTCATTTACTTCTGCTGCATATGTAAACCAGTTTAGCTTTTTTCAATCATATATACATTGTTATTTTACAGACCTCTTTTCTCTTTTTATATATATATATATATTTTAAGACATTTTTATGTTTATACATTCTTTTTATAGATAGAAATATTTAAGTAAATGCTCTGTTTATAATAAACAGTATTAACAACATTTACCGGCCTGAATCTCCGAGAAATTTTCATGGAAAATATGTGTCCTCCAACAGGAATTGAACCTGTATCTTATACGGAACCATCATATAGCCTGACGTGCTTTACCGATTGAGCCGCAGAGGAGCATTTCAATTAGCAAGGTCAATTTTACTGTTTTTAAATTACAATTCTTCATGATTTAAAATCAGTAAAACTGACCTTGCTAACCGAAATGCTCCTCTGAATTAACTTTATCCGGGTTCAAATAACCCCAAACTGAATTTCTTAATGTATCTGCACTTGGTCATGAACTCTGACCTCCCGTTCAATAATTCAGTGCTGTCTTTATACATTGCCGTAACTAGTTTTTCTTGTTATAGCTGCACAAGCAGTAAGGGCAACATCATAAAAAGAATGAATAGCAAAAATTTAAAGCCCAAAAATGATGTGACAGGTGAAAATATGGTCTTATGTAAATGCAGGACAAAAAAAAGTAACTGTCCTTTAAATGGATTATGCTGTACGGAATGAGTTGTATATTGTGCCGAAGTGGAAGGTGAAAATAGTAGCATAAAAAGATCCATTGGTTGCACTGAGGGCCAGTTTAAGAAGAGGTGGTATAATCATAACTCATCTTTTAGAATCTCAGAACGTAAGTACAATATGAAGCTAGTAAGCGACTATTAGAACTTTAGGGAGAGGCATAACAAAAACCCAGAACATTAAAGGGAGTCTATTAAGAAATCTAAAGACTAACATGATAATCGGGAATACATGTAAAAACCAACTATAGCAACATATAAAGACAACACTGAATTATTGAACGGGAGATCAGAGACCAAGTTTAGACATATAAAGAAGTTTAGCTTGGAGATAAAGTTAAAAAAAATTTTTTTTTTTTTTTTTTTTTTTCAGTTACTTTTTTTTTCTTTTTTTTCTTTTTTTTTTTTCTTTTTTTTTTTTTTTTTTTTTTTTTTTTTTTTTTTTTTTTTTATTTTTTTTTTTTTCTTTTTTTTTTTTTTTTTTTTTTTTTTTTTTTTTTTTTTTTTTTTTTTTTTCTTTTTTTTTTTTTTTTTCTTTTTTTTTCTTTTCTTTTTTTCTTTCTTTTCTTTCTTTCTTTTTCTTTCTTTCTTTTCTTTTTTTTTTCTTTCTTTTCTTTTTTCTTTCTTTCTTTTTTCTTTTTTTTTTTTTTCTTTCTTTTTTTTCTTTCTTTTTTTTTTTTTCTTTTCTTTCTTTCTTTTCTTTTCTTTCTTTTTTCTTTCTTTTCTTTCTTTTCTTTTTTTTTTCTTTTCTTTTTTTTTTTCTTTTTTTTTTTCTTTTTTCTTTTTTCTTTTCTTTTTCTTTCTTTTTTCTTGTTTGTTTCCTTTTTCTTTTCTTTTTTTTCTTTTCAGTGGTCGAAACCACAGAAGTGTTCTGGCTAGCATTCTTTTTTTTTGTTTGTTTTTTTTTTTAACAAACACACACACACACACACAGAGAGTACACCCTCACTCTGTCTCTCTCCAAAATTTTAAATTTACTAATTTTTTATATATTTATTTTTTTAATAGGAATAGATAGATTTGCCTATCCCCCTATTCACACTCCTTCCCTGTCTTTTGAACAGGCGTAGAGGTTTGTCCCTTGTTTCCTGTTCAGGATTGAGTTTCCAGTTCCTTCTCTGAAAGTCTTCTCATTCTCTTTCATCCCCAGTAACCCCTTGTGTCTTAGTGGCATTATTACCTTGCTTGTGGTGAAATGATAAAAAAAAAAGATATTATAAAACAAATAAAAATGCTATATAAGGAAAGTGCTTGATCTAAGATATGAAAAACATATAAATAAAGCCAGTATATAAGAGATATAATAAAACAACACTCAAATATTGCCGCCTTTTTGTGACTTAGTTTCATGTGGAGTTTAAGTTTGTAATACAAATGTCTCGCAATTTTTAGGCAGTTTAAAGGACAAGATACTCATTTGTATATAGCTACCCACTCGTATTTGAGTTTGACATAACTCAGGCCAGATGGGCCTTGTCTAGAAATTCAGACCGCTGCATTTGCTTGTCCAACCTTGCTTTTATGTGTTGACACCAATTCTTAGTTTGTAAACTTTTTATCTACTTATCTGTGAATTTGCTTTCCAATATATATTGTTTGCTTAATATTATTTCATTTTTGCCATGTTCCTTTTTCTTTTCATTCCAAATTGTGTTAATTCTGTTTGTTGGGCTTTTCTATTATTTATTTGGCATTTGACCATGGCTGCTTAATCATCAGAGGAGTTCAAAATACAATATGCTCCTAAATTGGTTTAGGTATTATGTATCATTTCAGTTATATCTCTAGAACACACACAAACACGTATAGCTGGCCACTCATATACCCTTCTACCAGGGCAGCTAGCTAATCCCTGTAGCAGAAGCATGCTCAGACACATTTGTGATTAATTCAACACCCACAGAACCCACCTGTGGTTTATACTTTAACTATGCAGTGCAGACCTTAGGTGCACTTTCTGAGAAAGAGTGTTATCTAGCATGATCAAAAATTTGAACAAGGCCAGCACGCTCAAACCCTTGGCCATGATGACTTGTTACTTTATGCTAGCACATGAAAGGTTCCTCTCTACCTAATTTCACTCACAAGGCTTTGGTCAACCTGTGGTATGGTATTCAGGCACTTTCCAAAGGTGCCACATGCTGGGACCGATAACATTAGACAGATCGACCTTGGAGAGATTTGAACCTGGGTTTCATGGTCAGAATGCAAACGTTCTAACCACTCTGCCATGTACCCATAACTCAATTGTATATAACAGTTTATATAACATAAATTCTATGAGAAAATCATAACAAATGGAGAGTCTACATCTCAGAAAGGCACCAATATATAAGTATCATTATTTATTTATTTTTTTTTTTTTAAATTTAGTGTGATCATTATGCTCTCTGTTTATTCCCCTGCAGTGGCTGAGTTGGCTGTGAAACGCAGTCTACTCCTGAAGACTCACGAGCGGGAGTCACAGGAGCGTGGGTGGTAGATGTGGCTCCCAATGGTCCTACGCTAGGAAGATCAATTTGCAGCAATGGTTTCTCAGGGTCAATGTTAGCTTGTGTCAGGGATGTCTTCAACTGATCCTTGAAGGATTGTTCTGGCTGCTGACATGTTCTCCAAACAAGATGATACATGGGAAGTGAGTGGAATGTATTCTTGACACGTGACCTGCCCAATGGATGCGATATTGAGGGATGCTAGCCACAAATGCTGGGGAAAGGTGTGTGTGTGTGTGTTTGTGTGTGTATACAGGGTGAGATTTTATATTTTTAATTTTGTGCACGTGCATTGTTTTTGATTCTTGTCAATTGCACAGCATAGTAAGGTCAGTTGAGCATGATCTGTGATAAAAAGAGTACCATGATGCAATTTACGCCACCAGAAATTTGGAAACAACATGCTGTACTGATTGGCATTCATGCCAGAAGCTCTAATATAAACATTTCAGAGTGTTTGGGTGTCAATCTGAGGACAGTACATAGGATTCAGAAAGAGTTGGATGGGTCTAATTGTGATTACAAAGGTATGGCATCTTGGAAAACTCACTCTGATTGTTCTGATAAGTAAAGAACTCCAGAATTTGTTGGTGAGAGCCTCGGACTCAACACAGAGCCTTGAGAAGGTAGTGCTGCCCTGGGTAAAGAGACTCTTCACCATGCCACACAAGCTGGAGAACTGAGTTATAGCTGTCAGACAATTTGTGCAACCACATCACCCCTTACGTCTGGCCGTCTAACTCCCCAGACTGCAACCCATTTGCTTATTATGTGTGGGGCACATTTGAGCGACAGACCAACAAAACTCCTTGTAACACCAAATCCTGGATAACTACCAGTTCACCAGCAATGTGCGCTCTTCCATAAAAAAAGGAAGCAAGCACAAACACAGTTTCTATCTGGTAAGGAACATGGCAGCTTGCTTGGATTGAAGTGGTAAGAGTATCAGCTGGGTCACTGTGGAAAGGGTGTATGATGTTGAAAAACCTGAAACCCCTAATGAACCTTGGCTAGAAACATCACTGATGTGTACTAAAGCATTAAATAGATGTACATTATGATGTATACACATTTGAATATTTTCTACAAAATATTTTCTGTGCATTTGCTTAAATAAATTGTCTCTTTGAAAATAACATATGAACAGAAAATATATTAAATAATTGTCAGACTGAGTCAATTTCATTGTATATTGTTATTGTTTACATTAGGATGCATTTCGTAAGCAAATAGGATCGATCAAGAAAAAACATCAAAGATTTTGTGTTTAAAAGTAACGTTCATTTCAATTAACCCACACTTGCTTTTCTTCTCTTAATCCCCTATTCTTCTTTGTTTATTTATTTTATAAAATAATAATATAGAGTTTATTAGTTCTTTCGTTTTTTATCCCCTTTTTTTTTTTCCCCATAAATAAAAAGGTCCTTGCCCGAGGATACTGTAAGGTTGAAACCAAAGTTGCGGATTCAACTGACCTCCTGATTTTTAAAGTTAAAAGCTCTACATGTTATTTTTACTTTTATTTTATTTTTCTTCACACATATATTGAGCACTTTTTAATATTACTGTTTCCTGGTCTGACTCAACTCTGACCATTATGACCTTTTATATATTTTATATATATATATATATATATGTGTGTGTGTATATATATATATATATATATATATATATATATATATATATTATATATATATTATATATATTATAACATATATATATATATTATATATATATTATATATATTATAACATATATATATATATTATAACATATATATATTATATATATATATTATATATATTATATATATATATTATAGATTATAAAAAGTTTTAAGGTATGCTATATTTATAGCTAAATGTGCTCAATATAAGTGCATGTTAATGTATAATTGGACAATGAGGTCATCACTAAGTGGCAACAGTCTGCTTCATGCATCAGTACAATCAGTGTGTGTATGTATGTATGTATATATATATATATATCTATGTCTTTTTTTATATATTTTTATGTGTGTGTATGTATTTATATATACAACTCAATACAGTAAAATTTAGATATTAATTGTTTGCAGTGGTATACAGTCAAGACAAAATATCTAGTATCATTTTAATGTCTGTTAATTTGTGAAAGCCTATCTGACGACAACTTTAAGTGATTATTACTAATTTCCCCTTTCTGTGTTCCCCTAATGAATCACTCAGTTTTACGCCATTTTCTTTTTCTATTTCCTCTAAATTTGCAGATTTGACTTCTTACTTCACAAAAGCTGTTTGTGAAGATTCTGTGTTGTCAGAACCCTGGTCTTCCCAGCCTGCCTCAGCAGGAGTGCCTGTATCACTTAGTCAATACTCACGCACTTTAAATCATTTTGTTTTTTCTATGGTAGCTTTTCTAATATTAATTATTTATTTTTACACAAGCATTCTCATTCCCCAACCTTTTTTTTTTTTTTTTTTAAAAAAAACAAGGAAACCTCTTAACAATCTCATTGTGTCAAAACTATTAATAGAAACCAGATTAGTCTCTGACTGATTTCTCTTTGTTTTCAAACCTTACCTCAATTTCCCTCAAATTTTTCTTAAAGATTTTTCCTAGGGGAGAGTCTTCTATGTGCCATGTCCCTTCAGATAGTGGGCGGTCATGGCCCTCCACAACTTCCTACCCTTTGTAGATTTTAGTAAAGTTTATCTTTTCACCTACTTTTCATTCAGCCATTCATTTACACAAGATTGTTTGGTTGATTACTTGCTGGTTCCCCTCTTGCTTTCAATATGTCATTTGAGTGTCAAATTCGCCAAGCCCCCTTTCATCAATGAGTTTTAGAAATTTCAACTTTCTCTTTCTGATTTTCAATTCATAAGCTTCCTTTTTGTTTCATTTTCCTTAAAACTTTCTCATGACTCACAGGTTCAGCTGGTAGTTCCCCACCCCTGCATCCTTCTGCAGAAAATCTAAGCTGCCTTAGATATCTCATCTGTAAGTAAATTGTCCAACATTCACTGCCATATAGAAGTATTTATATATAACAGATCAGCACTCTTTTCTTTGTTTTTAACAACATTTTTCATAAACAAATTCTAAGCACAATACAGTTCACCGGCGTGACCATATTTTTTGCAAGCAGACATTCTCCAGTTCGCACAGGCCATCATCTCCTGCATATGCATCACACCAAATTTTGTCTTTTTAATCAAAGGGGATGGGCAGCCTCATCAAAAGGTAGCTGGCAGTTTATCCTACCTGTCACTTCTGCTACACGTATTTACAGAATTCATTTTCTATCCATATGCAGGCAGTTTGCTTCCAATACGAGTTTCAGATAATTCCAATTTCTATCCCAATATTTAAACCCATAAACAATTCCCAAAAAGGTATTTGCAAACCTGAGAAAGTTTTCCATTTCATTAAATTGTGTTAAAAACTCATATACTAATTTGTGTTAAAAAGTATATATTTGTGTGTGTGTATATATATATATATATATATATATATATATGTGTGTGTGTTAATAATATACTAGTATTGTGTTAAGAAGTATATATTTGTCTCTGTGTGTGTATATATATATATATAATGTGTTTGTGTGTTAATAATATACTAGTATTGTGTGTTATATACACACACACACACACACACACACACACACACATATATATATATATATGACTTGATGAATTACTTAATTATATATATATATAATTCCAAAGAGGATATAAATCCAAAGAGAGCTCAATGTAAGAACAGATATATATTTGCAATATAAATAATTTTAAATTTAGAAATTAGAAATATCATTTTTTATGAATATTTTATTTTGAAAAACCAATATTATATATTAAAACAAATTCTCATCAGACCAAATTTGTTTTGGTCTGATGAGATGAAAATTTTTTAGCATCAGGTTTTTGAAATAAAAAATTATCATGGTTTCTTTTATCCCCTTTTCATTTTTTTTTCAATTATATATATATATATATATATATATATATATATATATATATATATATATATATATATATATTCATATATATTGTCATCCATGAAAAAGACTATTTATTTTTGTATCACATCTTAAAATTTTTGGCTTTTTTGCCTCTAGCTAAGATTGAAACCTGACTGAATTGGCGTCAGTAAATTGTTCTACCATAATATATATATATATATATATATATATATATATATATAAAAATGGACACTGAGGTCAACACCAAGCAGCAATAGTTTTTCATGCTTGGACGCAATCTTTGGGCCATGTATGTTGTGTCTTGACTACATTATTGGATAGGCAGTAATGGTTATGTTTCAAATTATTCTATTGAGTAGAAATAATTATGGATTCAAATACAGTTATACTCTGGCTCTATACACTCTTCATTATTATTTTAGTTTTATTCCATGTCCTTGTTTTTCCAACCAAAATTAATACAAGGGAGATAAGCTAGTTATAAGATATGATAATGAACAAATTTTATCTTAAACCTAAAATAAATATTCTCATCAGTGTTCTGAATGGAATAAAGATCAAAATAAATGCATTAAATAATCTCACAAAATATGTCTATGTAATCTACATGAGTTACAATTTGACAAGGTAATTAAAGATCTATTGACAATGACATTTTCTAAGCCCAGCCTTTTTTGTTAACTGAATTCTTATTGCTCTTGCAGCTATTTTGAAAACATGGAAAGAATTTGCTCTTCAAAGTACATCCCAAATGCAACAGATGTCCTTCGGGCTCGAGTCAGAACGACTGGCATTATAGAAACCTGTTTCCGAATTAATCATGTCATATTTCGGTAAGTAAAACTTTTTTTTTTTTAATTTTTTTTTTTTTTTTAGGTTGAAAGACTGGTAAGCATTTATTGAAGAAGCTATTTCCTCCTCTTTGCTTCTGTTTCTGATGGGATGCGTGGGTGGTGTAATGCACAGTGGCTCCGAATGAAAAATCAAAGAACCAAGTTTGAATTCTGGCCAAGTTCATTACATTCTCTTACACACAATTACCCTTGAAAGAGATATGAATCCATCTCTTCTCCAAACCCCCACCCGCCACACTATAGCTTAAATAGTAGGACTTGTATCCAGAAAAATCATTATCTCCAAAAAATTGTTACCGCAATATATCACTAGTAAAAATAAAACAATCCTATTGTAATTGTAAAATTTGTTAGTTTGCACGACCATTATGCCCTACCAATACCTCATAAATGATGGATTATTCTATTTTGATTGCATGGAAATATAAAAAGACATTACTTGATTTCAGTGAGAAAATGAATAAAAGGAAAAATAGAATTGTTTAACAGCTGTTTCACTGAATTGGGGAAAGTGGTAAATTTCAAGCCTTTTTATTTGTAACTTCTTAAAATAATGACAGGATTTCATATTTATGATTGTTTTTTGCAATAATTTTGTTAAAGTTGTTAAGCTCAAATATTTAACGATGCAATAAGGAAGTTTCTACAGGTATTTTATTGCCGTAAGAACAAAGCAACCCCTGTTACCTGACTTTCACCAGTGGGTCTTTTAGTCCTCATATACCAGGTGTAACAACAAAATTGTCCATTTGTTAGATTAAGCTTTGAAACTGTTGTATCTTAGAAATGATTAAAGATATCTTACTGGAATTCTCTGAGTGTTTTTATAACACTATTGGACTCTACTTTGAGCAATAAGAATATACAATTATTCTCCAAGTTTAACAGAAGAATCATGATGAAATCAATCATAAATGAAAATGACATATTCATCATTAATTAATCATAGCTAAGAATCAAAAGCTCATGAACAAGTGAAATAAAGTTCAAATAAATATATATATATATATATATTAATCCAGTATCATTTTCCAACTTATTCAAGATGAAATTTGCCCTTCTAACTTTCTGTCCTGGAGTAACAAAGTGCCTCACAGATTTCACGTATGATTTAATTTTCAAGTCTTTTTTTTTTTTTTTCTGCTCTTTGGACTGTCATAGCTGAAACTCCTCTCCAACATGCCAAACGTCTTATGAATTGAGTTGGATCTTTTCTAATTGATCTTTTTAGTTCTAAGTTGCAATGATGATTCCTCTTGCTGATTGTGACCTCCTGATCCAGTTTTTCCTTTCTACTGTTCCCTTTTTTTTTTTTTTTTTTTTAAAACATTCACCATTCTCTTGATGGTTTTTGAATGGACTTTGAAGATGGAAGCCAGAATATGAATGTTAGTACCATTACTGAAAGCCTGAATGATCTTTTCATCTCACCATTGCTCAGTTGGGAAGACATAGTGGGGCTGACACAAAAAGATTTTAACCTGTTCTCTTTCTAGCTGAATAACTCAAAGGGTTTTTCAGTGATTCTTACAACAAATGGTGTCAAGATGGCTAAACATCTTATCTAAAAACTTGGAAAAAAGAAACTCAATTAGTTTAGTGGCTTTTTAAATATTAAACATTTGTACTGCTATTATCAAAAAAACATGTGCTGTCATTGTCCCAGGTAATATTCCATTGACTGCATCCTGGCATTTTATGCGTCCTGGGTATGACGATAAACTATGTCCAACAGAAAGGCCTCTGATAATACGTTTGTGAAAAAAAATGATGCCAGCTGTATGTTTTTGAAAAAATATTACCAGCTTTTTTGGAAAAATATTTTGAGGAGAAAGATATTAACAGAAATAGATTTTTGACAAAACAAAAATATTACCAGGAAAAAAAAAAAGTTGTCAGCATTAAATGACCCATTGAGGTTGATATGCCGTAAAATAAACCAAACCAAATCAAACCTGGCATTTTATAAAAGCAAAAACAAAAAAAAATATTTGATGCCTTCTTTTTGGTGTGGTCTCACTCTCTTTAATCTTTACACATTATATCACTCTGGACTGTTACAAACTTTCAACTCTGTATAAAATACTGGTTTCTGTACTGTGCAGTAGTCTCCAGTGGTGTCATTCAGTCGAGGGTACTGTTATGGCTGTATCTGTGATCAATTCAACCCAGGTTATTGCTGCATGCATCTCCTGTGACTGTCTCTCTACCAAACATACTGCTATCTACACATGAATACAACTAGATTGAGCAAAATCATCAAACCCAACCTCAAAAAAATAAAAGTAGACCCCAGGTTCACCATCACTTACAACAATGAAAGGGGTCTATGTTCCAACTTTGGAAATCCATCTTCTTGAGGTCAAAATCAACCTCTTATTTCTATTTGAAATTGGTATTGATAACTTTATCTCACTTCAGGAGCTCACAATTCTGGGCTACTTGCCCTTAATAGCTAAATATAACCACCAAAATCACCATGTGAATAAGTATAGAGAGCCAATGACTACTCCACATTGTGTCTCCATTCTTATTTCTGTTGATGTATATCAAAAACTGGGAAAAGACCAAAAATAAATAGATATTTTCACAACCTTAAAGAAATAAATAAAAAAAATTTTTTTTTTTTTTTTTTTTTTTTTTTTTTTTAAGCATTTTTACCCCAAGCAAAGCAGGAAGCCACTAGCACGCAAGGGGTTATAGACAACTGGAGCGAGAGCAAATAGGAATGACAGAGGAAGGATGAAGAGAAGGATAGGGGATAGATCAAGGCATCTGGAGACATCAATTGACATTACATTTGAATAGTTTGAGATTATAGCTATCAGGGAAACAGGAAGAGGAGAAGGAGTTCCACAGGTGAGAGGTGTAAGACATGAAGCTATTTGAGTAGAAGAGATGGCTACATTTAAGTTTTGACAGTGAAAGGGTGTGAGCGAGATGCCAGCCTAGTAGAACACTTAAATTCATGAAGTCTGGGAACCAGTGAAAGCAGCCCGTCGGAGGAGTTACCATTAGAGTATTTGTAAAAAAAAGACAGAGGGAAGCGACGGCACGTCTGTGAGAGAGCGACTGCAGACGAGATGCCAGATCAGGGCCAATTACGTTGCATATCCGTCTCTGGATCTTATCAAGAACCTTGAGACAAACATAAGGGGCACCAGACCATATATGGCAGCAATACTCGATGCAAGGGTGAATGGGTGATTTGTAGATTAAAGGATTGACTCCGGCGAGAGAGATTTCCTGGCGTAGCACAGGGAGCCAACTTTCCTTGCAGTGCATGAAGCTATTGACTCAATGTATTTGTTCCATCTTAGGTCAGCAGTCAATGAGAGGCTGAGTCGTCGCAAAGAGGAGCTCTCGAGAAGTTGAGCATCAGACATTCTAATGTGGGGCAGGGATGGTTCTGTGGTGAGTAATAGAGGGCAGTAATGCTATGGTGAGAAATGAGAATTTAAACCCAGTTTTCAATATATTTAGGGGTTTTATTCAGAGTTTTCCTTGCTTGGTCTGGGTGGGTGGATAGATAGATAACACTTGGGACAACAATTGCCATTTCAGGCTAAAAGATAAAATTCTTCTTTTTGATTCTTCCTCTTACCAATTCTCTGCCTATCACAATGTCATGATGCATGGCTGACAGCACAAACTGGCACCGTCAGAATTACCTGACGGGCAGCCTGTTCACAGCCAAGAATGGACCAGAACTGTTAATATAGACTGGCAACTGGAAATCATCATGTCTGGCTTTCTTGTTGCTCAACCTCAAAATATTTTATTTATTCTTTTCTTCCCCTTTTGTCAAGTGTGTGCCACATAGAATACCTGACTTCAAAGATGGCCACAAGATCTGAAAACACTTGGGATCAAGCTAAAATTAAAGATTATATAAAGATAAACTCCTAATTGGGTAGGACCTTTTGCTCCCTCCTTTTTTTTTTTATTCTCTCACTTTTACCTGGGTAGAATAACCCTGATTAAAACTAGGATTTGTATCAATAGGAAATAATGGAAGAGAAAAACAAAAATTAAAGTACTGAGCACAATACTTTTCTTTAAATTCATATGGGAATCATTATCATAAAATTTAGTAATTGATGTTAACGGACTGATTGCACAAACTGAATAAAATTACAAAGAAATTTCAAAAATTTCCCTAATACTGTACTCTGAGATTAGTTTGACTCAAAAAAATATTTTTTATCCTACTGTTAACCCAATACAAGGCACAAGATCCACTCAAAATAGAGCATTAATGAATAAAGTAGTTGTAAGGTCAGAAAGAGAGAAAATAAAAAATGCAAATTATGATATGTAAGATAGATAATGATTGTATCTGTCTATATTTCTGAGATGAGGTATTATGTACACTATTTACATTATTCGGACTATTGCCCTCATCTTTGTCACCATATTTATTACATATACATTGTACGCTCCAGCCTTCTTCAAGTGATTGGAATGTCGAACTGAATGGCACAGTGGATAAAGGCATTAGATCCAGTGACAGGACCCAAAGAGTGTGAGTTCAATACCTGGTTAAGACAGTGGAGAACTTTCAAAGGGGAATTAACAGGAGATAACCGAAAACTGACATTCATTGAACATGGCATGTGAAACTAGAACAGTCTACCCCAGTGAGCGAAATAAAGGGTTCAGTTTGACATTCCAACCACCTGAAGAAGGCTGGAGCATACAATGCATATGTAATAAATATGGCAACAAAGATGAGGACAATAGTCTGAATAATGTAAATAGTGTAGATAATGATTGACTGTTGACTTGAAGAGGTTAAGATCATATTGATTGGAAAAGTAACTTTCTCTGGTGTCTGTTCCACAAAGTAACGGCTCTTGGGAAGTAACTGCCAGAGTTGAACTTTCTTATTACCCTTCATATTACATTTTTAAGGAAGAGGAGTCATCCTTTTGCATATGGCATGGCAGGTTGGGTCCTAGTCATGAATGCCTAAATTATTAGAACTAAGGAATATAGTTTGTTTGAACATTTGCCAATGAAATAGCAAGAAGCTAGCAACATTTTGCCTGTGGGGAAAGGGGTTGTAGGATGGGAAATAATTCATCACCTACAAGGCCGTGTAGATGCTTTTGCATCCTCTTAAGGCTGGAAAGTGAGGACATGGCAGATCCAGCCCAGATGTCGCAGTAATACTCCATTTTTGGTCTGAATTGACTCTTGTAAAGATCAAGCATGAAGGACTCTATCAAAGCTGAAAAGTGAGGATTGTGTAGTTCCAGACCAGAAATAGCAGCAATACTCCATTTTCAGTCTGATCTGACTCTTAAAACATTGGAAGGAAAATAGGAAGATTGTGATGCACCAATTTTTGAACTGGAATGGTTTACATTGAAATAACTGGGTTTCACTTGGCCTTCAACTGGCACCAGAGGTAAATGCATTGTAGTAAATGAGATAATCAAGTACCCTGGAAAAAAGTTTGTGTTTTTTAAATTTCTGCGGGGAGGGATTGCCAAAAAAGTAGTCAGCAAAACTCTTATAGCGATTAAATTTCAACCTGTTTACAATATACAGGTATTCTTCTGTTATAAAAAGAAACAAGTCCGTCATTATAATAGTATATTAATATGCAAATTACGGAGCATCTTATCCCGGCTGTCGATGAATGGAAAAAATAGGTTCTGCCGATAAAAGCAGTTGACGTTTTCGACTCGGGAAGGAAAATTAATCTTAGTTTTTATTCCGGCGTTCGTGAGTTATTTTCCTGAGGCGTTACAAGTGATTTTCTTTCTTTGTGTTGGGAAAGCCACAAATTTTTGCTTTGAGAACGCTTACTCTTCATGCATATCTAACCAAACGACCTTATACATAGATATTTTCTTTTTTTTTTCTGTGTTAAATGATTTTCTTTTGTTTTTCTTTTCTCGTCAGAATGTTTGATGTGGGAGGCCAAAGATCTGAAAGAAGAAAATGGATTCAGTGTTTTGATGACGTCCGAGCAGTATTGTTTGTGGTTGCACTTAGTTCCTATGATATGTGTTTATATGAAGATCCAAATGTGGTGAGTAAAATTATTCATTTCTTTACACGTCATAGTAGTATTAGTAATAATAATAAAGTTAATGCTTTTAAGTTGTCTATTACTATTCATTTTTGATTAGTATTTCTTTCATCTTATTTCTCTTGCTTTTCCATCAATTAGTAATAGTCTTAAGTTGTCTGAATTTCTTAGATGAAGCCTTGTCATTTATTATTCATTTTTTCACTAGTATTTCTTTCATCTTATTTCTCTTGCTTTTCCACCAAGTATATAATAGTCTTAAGTTGTCTGAATTTCTTAGATGAAGCCTTGTCAATTATTATTCATTTTTTCACTAGTATTTCTTTTCATCTTATTTCTCTTGCTTTTCCACCAAGTAGTAATAGTCTTAAGTTGTCTGAATTTCTTAGATGAAGCCTTGTCAATTATTATTCATTTTTTCACTAGTATTTCTTTCATCTTATTTCTCTTGCTTTTCCACCAAGTAGTAATAGTCTTAAGTTGTCTGAATTTCTTAGATGAAGACTTGTCAATTATTATTCATTTTTCACTAGTATTTCTTTCATCTTATTTCTCTTGCTTTTCCACCAAGTAGTAATAGTCTTAAGTTGTCTGAATTTCTTAGATGAAGACTTGTCAATTATTGTAACTTTGATTCAGTCTCTTGGGCTTAGCAGCATGAATTCTGATAGTTTGAAAGCTGTGATCTAAAGCATCAGAAATTAAAATAAAAGAATATTAAAAAGTTATCTACTAATACTAACAAGTTGTTAGTATATACTAATAAAATCACAGTATATTCAATCTGTTTGTATTGATGCAATACGAACTTTAAAATATTATAATTCAGCTTCTTATAAAATGTATCTATGAAAATATGAACCATTAAATTCTATAAGCAAGTCTATTTGTTGTCATTGTGTCAGTTTACATTGGTACTGCTTTTTTTTCTGTATGGTGTGACCATTTTGCTTGAAGTTCAGATTTTTTTTTTAATTTCATATGAAAAGGCATGATATACATATGCAGTTGGTAATGCTTAAATTGGGTCAATGGAATTCATTAGCCTGCAAAAGCAATCCATCTAAGAGAAGGAAAACTCTGATTTCAAAGCTCCTCCTGCCTTGTGGCTATACCCAATTGTCAGGATTAAATGTTGGGGATAAAATCTGAAACTGGAATCCCAACATCGCATTATGCCTCATTCTGGCAACTCTTGTGATGGTGCCAAGCAGTATCAGACTCGTGCCAATTTTTTTTTTAACAGTAATTGGGGTATGGAAAGGGGAGGTTCTGCATGGGCAACTGTTGATCTCCTGTAAAAAAAAAAAAATGTTGTGAGAACACTGTCAGCTGAATTAAAAAAAATAAAAAACCTCTTCAGACACCAGGTCCTTGGTCTTTCCATGTGCACAATAATTGTGTAAGTGTATACTATAAAAGAAGAGCAGATTGTCTGTCTGACACACACACTGCATGTGACTTAGGATGTGTACTTTTGTGTTGTGGGTAAGTGACTTACATGCATCCATATTGTTTAATGTACATTCAAATACGTGCACGCATGCATTACGCACACAATTTAACTAAGTTTGGTATACAGCTATATCATGTTGAAACACTTATTCCTGTATGATCAGCATCCTGGGTAAGACATTAAACTATGTCCAGCAGCAAGGCCTCTGATCAGGAGGTTTTGAGGAGTGTGGAACCACCTCTTAATTGCTGGTGTTCCCAGGTCTACCTTGACCCAAGGTGGTAGAATCTATTAGGGTCCAAGCTATTGGCAAATAGTTAACTATTACCAGCAATACTTTTTTGAAAAGAAATTATTACCAGCAATACAATTTTGAAGGAAATATATTACCAGAAACAGATTTTTTACAAAACAAAATATTACCAGCAATAAAATTTTTTTGTCAGCATTAAATAACCCATTGAGGTTGATATGCCGTAAAACAAAATAAACCAAACCAATCTAAACCAAAGAATACATACTCTATTCATACGAATCTATCCTAAAAATGTTCTTGGCATTAAATAACCCATTGGGGTTTATATGCTGTAAAACAAAATAAACCAAACCAAACCAAAGAATACATATTCTATTCATACGAATCTATCCTAAAAATGTTCTTGGCATTAAGTAACCCATTGAGGTTGATATGTCGTTAAACAAAATAAACCAAACCAATTCTGTATGATCACCAAAATTAAGCAATGTCAAGCCTGGTCAGTAACTAGATGGGTGACCGCTTAAGAATACTAAGTGCTGTAAGCTTGGATGTGTAGGTGGTGTAATGGATAATGGCTCAGAATTGTTAATTGAAGAGCCAAGTTCTAATTGAAGTTTGATATATTTACTTACGTACAAATCCCCTTGGGAAAGTTTTGAATCCACCTCTTCTCCCCCAGCTATGGGTTAATTATACTTGTATTGCTAAATCATTATTATCGGAAAAAAAAAAAATTCTTACAATTTAAAAATATTTTCTAGCTTTAAATAATCTACAAAAGATTGATAAGCCATAGAAAACAAATTGTATATTGAATATAATCAAATCGGTATATTGCATTCCCCTACTACTCAGTTTGGGCAACCCCTATCCTGTGCTGAGCTTTAAAATAAAGGTGAGGACAAGAAAACAAAAAAAAGTAAAGAAAAACTGTCATTTGCTTACAAGTGTCTATGGCTGTGAAATAAAATGAAAAATAATCAACTTTTCTCTCTCTTACCAACAGCGAGAGAGAGAGACTTAGTTTCTTATCGATAATTATGTGACGCTCTGACTGAATTTGGAATAAGATACTGGAATAATACATTCCCCTCCCACTCAGACTGAGCATCTCCTACCCTGAGCTGAACGATAAAATCATAAATTTGAAGACAAAAAAACAAAGAAAAAATTTGTCAGCTGAATGTTTGTCGAACTCTTTGCTTAGATGTGTATATGGTTGTGAAATACAATTCAAAAATAGATATAAAAAAAATAACCAGCATTTTTTTTTCCTACAGCAAGCGAGAGAGAAAGAGAGTGAGAAAGAGAGAGAGAGAGAGAGTCTTAGTTTTTAATTGATAATTATGTATGACCCATTGAAGTCATTCTTATGATTTATTCTGTATCTTATTTAAATATATATTTTCTAATAACATATTTTAAATGGACAAGCAACTTAGATTTAAAATTTGATCTCTGAATTACTGAGATAAAAGAGTTATCATTTTTATACTATTTACATTCAAAGTATTTTCCCCTTCTTTGTTGTGATAACAACAACAAAGATGAGGATAACAGTCCAAATGTAAATAGTGTAAATAAAATTTTATCATCTTACTGTTAGCAAAGTGATGGGTAAGAAAAATATAGAATAGAGGTAACATCTACTAAGGTTAGTTTTTAGTGTACTATTTTTTTTTTATTTTTTTTTATTTTTTAAATTTTTTTTTTAAAACTTTTGGGCAAGTTTTTTTCTTGTCCTTTTTTTTCTTGCCAAACACATGCAGCTAATTTATGTATTTGTAAAATCCGCAATCCCAACTGAATCCCACAAAACAAGTTATTATCAATATTTTTAATTTCTTTTTTTTCTTTTTTTTATCCCATGACTCATAGGGTCATAGGGGAACCATGTGTACTGCAGCCGCAGTGGTGTTTCTTGGGCAAGTGAGCCTGATGGAGCCCAACCCTCTCTAGTTCAGTTTTGAATTCAGTTTTCCTTCTCCTAGACCAGTTGCCACCCAAAGTTATAAACTCAGTCTGTCCTGTTATTTATCCAGGCAGGGTGAGAAAAAGAGGATTCATACCTTTCCCAAGGGTATTAGCATGTAAATAAATGTAATGGATCCGGCTGGAATTCGAACTTGGCTTTCAGGTTTCTTAATCCGAGCCACTATCCATATCACCACCGTACCTCATTTTACTAAGTAGAAATGTTATAAGTTGAAACTTATAGAATATAATGTGATAAATAATTAGTATGAAATATCAAAACAAAGTATATAAGTTAGAAAATATGAAAACCAGTTTAAATTTTAGTTTCTTGTTGACATATTTAAGAAGCATTATCAAACAATGTATTGTTTATATAAATAGATCCTAAAAATGTTACTAACATTGGTTGGTTAATACAAAATTTAGTATGAAAACGTTGACTTTCATCATAAAATATGATAAAGTGTAATTGGGGCCTTTTTATAAATTTCTGAAGATGTAATTATATTTCTTGTGGAGAATGGGGAGGACCACAACCATATAAAAGTGATAAATGCATTTTTAAACGGGCAAATAATTTGATTTGTAATCTGAACATCGTAACCTCAGTAAAAGGACAACGTACCAAATTTGTAAATGAATAAAATTTCCCAAAATGTTTTCTGATTTTCGTTTTGATTCTGTCTCTTTTTTTTTTTTCAGAACCGATTACAAGAAAGTTTAAATCTCTTTAAAGGAATATGCAACAACAAATTTTTCAGTAATTCTTGTATGGTAAGGTTTCTTTTTGTTCTCTCTCTCTCTCTCTGTCTTTTTGTCTTCCTCTTACTTTCTCTTTCTTTCTTGTTTTTTTTTTCTTTGTTTTTTCCTTTTTTTCCTTGTTTTTTTTTCCTTTTTTGTTTTTTGTTTTTTCTTTGTTTTTTCCTTTTGTTTTTTTCTTTTTTTCTCCTTTTGTTTTTTTCTTTCTTACTCTCTTTCTTCCGCTTTCTTTCTTTCTTTCTTTTTCTTCCTCTCTTTCCTTCTCTTTCTTTTACTTCCTCTCTTTCCTTCTCTTTCTTTTACTTCCTCTCTTTCCTTCTCTTTCTTTTACTTCCTCTCTTTCCTTCTCTTTCTTTTACTTCCTCTCTTTCCTTCTCTTTCTTTTACTTCCTCTCTTTCCTTCTCTTTCTTTTACTTCCTCTCTTTCCTTCTCTTTCTTTTACTTCCTCTCTTTCCTTCTCTTTCTTTTTCTTTCCATCCATTGATTGATTTCTTTCTATTCTCTCTTTCTTCACGTTTTTCTTTGTTTCTTTCTCTCTATTTTTGTCTTCTTTCTTACTCTCTCTCAAATTGGAACAGAATAAAACTATATAGCATTTTTTAAGTGTATTACACAAAAAAATATTAAGATATTTCTAAATAGTTATTAAACCATACAAGTAAAATTCTATTCCACTACCTTTTGCAACCTTTAAGGCAGTTTCATGATTCCAACCTCTCAGAATCTTATTCTCTTCCTGTTCCCTTGATAATGAGAAACTTCTATTCGGACAGCTTCTTTCCAAGAGACACTTCTTTGTGGAGATATGACATTTACACAACCGCTATTATCTTAACCACTTCAAGTTCAGGCTCAACCATTATCTATCCTTACATATCCTCATAATTGACAATTCTTATGTCTATAAAACAGCTCCATTCAGTAACTCTCTACCTTGAGTGTCTCTCGAGCTTTGTACTGAGTAAACAATAATAGCCCACCATTGTGTTTAAATGATTTAACTGGTGGGCCATTATTGTTTACTCAGGAGAAACCTTGCCATAAAAAGATGAATTAAAATCATTTTTTGTTTACCAACTTTATATATCTTCACCCGCAGACTAAAAACTTTTTGGCAAAAATTTCATTTGCAATTCTATTTTTTACTATCTTTTTATGGCGAGGTTTCTCTTGAAAATAAATCATTTAAGTTTTGATTTTAATTCTTTATCAATATTGAAAAAGGATATAAGAATTGAAATGCAACATTAATGAAATCTTTTATCTAAAGCTTTTTTTCTTTTAATATTTTTTTTTTCTATTCTGAATTTCACAAAAATTTTGTTATTAGGATTCAGATCAATGAGTTTTCATCTTTGACATCAGTTTTTTTTTCTTTTTGTGTTTTCTTTTCTTTTTTCAGGGTTTTTGTATTTCTTTTTTTATTTTACAGGTTCTATTTTTGTAATTTTTTTTTTCTTTGTTTTTTTTATTCCAAGTTTTTTTCATTTTTTTCAGAGTTCTATATAAATCTTTATATACTAATTGTTCTGATAAGCTTTTTGGTATCTAGACTTTATGAATTTAAGTGCAGTACTAGATTGGTGGCAAGGTCAATTGAAATATCTAAATGTAACCGTAAGTTCTATGCTAACAGTTTCTTCTCTCACACTTCTCACTTGTGGAATTCTCTTCTGACTTCTTGCTTTACAATCAACTCTGATATTCAAGTTTAAATGTAATGTCAGTTATTTTCCTGCTCTTTTATTGTTCTCTCTCTTTAATGTTTTCTTTTTATCTATATTCTTTCACACTCAGTAACCCCTTGCATCATAGTGGCTTTATTGCCTTCTTTGGTGTGAAATGATTATATTTTTTTCTTGCTTTTTTTTAATAGGGTTTCTGTTCTAGATTTTCTTTTCATTTTTTTTTATGAAGTGGTCCTTTTGTTATTTTTTGTTTTGTTAGTTTCTTTTTTGTTGTAAATCTTACCCTCATCTCTCTCTTCTTCCCCCCTCCCCCAACCAGTCCTCCTTTTTTGGGAGGGGGATGATCTTTTTTTTTTCTTTTCCTTGTTTTAGCTTATGTCTTTCTTTTGATTTTTGTCTGTTTTTCTTTTCTTTTTCTGTCTCCTTTTGTTTTATCTCTTTTTTTGTCTCCTTTTTTTGTGTCTCCTTTTTTTTCTCTCTTTTCTCTTTAATATTTTGTTGCTTTTTTCCTCTTTTTTTTTTTTTTCTTCAAATAATGAATCGCATTTCAAATAAAAAATCCCTTTTGTATTTCAGATTCTTTTTCTGAACAAAGTAGATTTATTCAAAGATAAAATCCTTCACTCCCAACGACATCTCTGCCAGTTTTTTCCTAGTTACCCTGGTGAGTTGATTTTCTCCTTAAACGTTACATTTTTTTTGATTTTCAAAGCAACTCTAGTATTTGATGAGCATCTTGTCCTGGATATGAGGGTTTCAAATATATAAAGGAATGGATTTTTTATTTATAATCCAACAGATTTTTATCACTATTCAGACATTGATTGGCCATTGACTCGTGTCATAGCTGAAAGGTCAAAGCAAATCAGATTTATGATGTTTTCCTTAAGGAAGTTTGAATCCAACTGGAGAGTACATATTTTTATAATTGAATTTCTCAAATATTCAAGCAGGTAGATGAAAATTAATAAATAAACAGGACGTCTACTCAAATACAAGTATCCACTAAAAATAACATTTAAAATATAGTTAAATTACTCGGAATATTTCTGAGGATAAGACAAATGGGATAAAAAAAGACAATTGGAAAATAATTCTTAGTCCTTGTCGACATGTTTTGTCATTCGACTTTATCAAGGCAAGTGAAGATAAATAAAAACAAAATGTTGTATAGTTACATCAAATTCAAAAATTTTTTAAAAAGATGCTCCTGTGTAAGCCTTTTTTATTTATCATCACTTGAAGTCAAATGACAAAACGTGTCGGTAACGACTAAGAACTACTGTCCAATTGTCTTCTTTATATATATATATATATATATATATATATATAACCCGGATATAAGAGAGTTGTCGGGACTGGAGAAGAATTCTCTTATATCAGGGTTTGGTCTATTTTGTTTACATTAACACAGGCTCTAATTTGGGACCAGAGAAAATCTCTCTTATATCCGGGTTTCTCTGTATGTATGTATGTATATATATATATATATGTGTGTGTGTGATCTCCAAGTATAGGATCAGTGTATACGGAATAAATTCCAGTAACCAAAAAATACTATTCTTAAGAGTGCTCAATACAGAGTAGAGCAAATATAATTTTCGAATATATATATATATATAAAATCAATTCAAGCGTTGGAGTAATGGATAGCAGCTCAGATTGAGGAATTGGAGAGCTGAGTTTGAATTCCAGTCAAATTCATTAGATTCACTTATGTGCTAATACCCTTGGGAAAGGTATGAATACTCTTCTTCTTTCTCCAGCAATGGGAAAATAGCAAAACAAACTGGGTTATATAGCCTTGTTTGGCAACTGGTCAACCATAGAAAGAAATGGCAATCTACTGTCAGAAAAAAATCTGCCTCATCAGTCATGTATTGAAAGATACATGATTGCCTAAGCGTGTATCATGCATGGCTGATAACTGACTGACTGAAAACATTTGTCACTTAGCCGTTGATGTTACCTTCAGCATCCTGACACCAATGCAACATTTGGGATCTACTTGAGCTAAATAAAGCCATTCATCAAATAAAGATGAACAATGATATTTTCCAAAAGTGCCGCAACATGAAGAATGCTATCTTGAATGCTTCTCAGATGCCTCATTTTGCCTGGAAGTTGTTCACAGGGAGGATCTTTCTGTTGGATTCTAGAGGTGCCATATTGGCAGTTAAGAGTGCAAGATAAAACCCAGTGAGTTTATATTAAATAATAGTTTCAGACTATTATTTTTTAGTGGCAGTGTATTTTAGCTCAGACTTTCTGAGGCTGATCTTTGAGATCAGATGATAGACAAAATAGGGATGTTGATTTTCATTGGCTGAGCCAAACGTGGTAATGAGTTATAGATTAAGGTTTTACAAAGAGTTGCTGTTTAGACATCGAGCTAACTAGTTTGTGCAAACCCCCACCCCACCTTTTGAGGGTTGGTCCTTACACGTCAAAGGAAATGGACATGTGAGATTTTAGTGTTTGAAAGTGGCTCCCAAATAGGGGCTGTAGTAACCCCCACTCGATACCCATCGATGTGGTTAATAAAATAATAGTTAAGTTCTCTTTGTTGATGCGTTTTAGTTTCTGAACCCAAAGAACATTTCATGACACCGACCAAAAGAAGAAGACTGAACTAAAGCGACCAGTGATCACCGGCCAGATGAGATGAGACCAAAAAACATCTCCCACCTAATGAAGCGTATGCAACAATTAAACAGGCATGCCAATAGGGTATATGAGAAACTGAACGTCAGCTGGGTGTTGGTTGTTTCCCCACACCCGCAAAACAATAGATTCTAATTAGCAGCAGAAGGCTTGTCACACCTGCCAATTAAAATAAGTTCAACCCTTGAGCTCATTATAAACTCTCTCTCAACTTCTCAGGTGTTGTGGCGTCAGCTGCCTGAAAAGGCCCGATGTCAGTCTAAACAAAGAATTGTTTCTCTTATCCTTTTAGTGGCCTGGCATAGTTACAAAATTTAATGAAAATTGGTATAAATTGTATTTTAATATGATGTCTAAGCACATCTTGAAGCTTTTTTGTAAAAAAATTAAAAAAAATTAGAATAATCCAAATTATTACTTGTCTGGTATTAAAAAAAAATTAAAAAAATTGTTTAAAACTTCTTCCACTAAAGAAACAATGGGCATGTTAATGTGTTTTTGATATCGTACCACAACACTTAACATGAATAATGCTAATGTAGATTTTATCTTAATGGATACAAAAGGATGTATTTACAATTCGCAGTGTAAATTATACTTTTGAAAAGATAATTTTAAAAATATTTTTTTTTACTTCAGGGATTTCTTTTACAGCTCTAAGAAATATCACATGTTGGCTAATATTTAAATTTAAAGACTTTAGGAACCAAAAATTTAATGTGGCATGAAGAAGTTGCAATATGATCAAAGATGTAACCATTAGTTTTCTATGACCAAATTGATTATGATGCCATCCATGAAAAACAAACTCTTGAAATATGGAAGTGAGTACAATTCTCACTAGAAGTTCTTTTATTTGTTGTTTATTTCTTTCATAGTTTGGTAAAAGGGGGCAGGTATTGAGCTTAGGAGGTTTCGGATAAAAGGCAAAAATAAGATGAAGAAAAGCTGAGAGAAATTAGGAGCAAACCTTTTCCATTGTAGAATTTAAATAGCTTAGTTGTTTTTTTGTTTTTTTTTTTAATTTCAGGCAAGAAATATGATGTGGACACTGCTGCCCGCTTCATCCAACACCTGTTCCAACTTCAGAACAACAACCCCACCAAAGTTATCTACCCTCATTTTACGACCGCCACAGACACAAGTAATATTCAAGTCGTCTTTCAAGTTGTCATGGATTCAATACTCAGGGAAAATCTTACCTCAGCTGCTTTGCTTTGAGTCCGTACTTATCTTGCCTCCATCCTCCCCCTCTCCCTATATATACTTTCTTCTCCCCCTCTTTCTATGCTTTTCTTCTCCCCCCATGCTTTTCTCTTTCTCTGTACGCCCCTCTCCCTCCTCATCCCCTCTCCTCCTCCCCTCCTCCTCATCCCCCTCCCTCCTCATCCCCTCCCATCCCCCTCTCCTCCTCATCCCTCTCCCTCCTCATCCCCTCTCTCCCTCCTCATCCCTCCCTCCTCATCCCCTCCCTCCTCATCCCCTCTCCCTCCTCATCCCCTCTCCCTCCTCATCCCCTCCCTCCTCCCCCTCCTCCCCCCTCCTCCTCCTCCCTCCTCCTCCCCTCTGTAAAAATTCATCTCAAGTGTATATATTAAAGCATGCCATTCATTTCCACTCATCCCCGACTCAAAAAAAAAACTTCCCTCTAAATTTGCATTGCCACTTGTGTCCTCCCAATTTCCAAGAGTAAGTGGTGAGAGCAGGGGAGCAAAACAATTGATTTGACCAAAAATCTGACATTTTCTTATTTGGATATTCTAAATAATTTACTTTTGACCAATTTGAAATTTTTTTTTTTTTTTTTTTTTTTTTTAATTTTTTTTTATTCTAGTGCTTCAGTTATTTTCCCCATTTAACAGCCATTAAAATATGAACAGCTTTGGAAGCTGGAAATATCTTTGATTCATTCTGCTAAATTAGCAGTTGTAGAATGCTGAAGCAAAAATACAACTTATGATAAAAAGAAACAAAAATAAGTTTAAAAATGAAGCAAAAATAGTTGGATAAACTGAGCGAACTTATTTTTGGTTTGGCTTTCTTTGGAGATTTTATTTTATTTTTTTTAAATCCCTCCACTCCCCTCTGCCCCCCCATTTTATTTTTTTCAGGTTTTTACTTTTGTTTTTTTATTTCAATTTTTTTTTTTTTTTTTACTGTGTTTCCTCCATTCCTTTTTCTTTCTTTCCTTCCTCTTTCTCCCTGTCATTTTTTTGTTTTCTCAATGATTACACCAACAAAATTAAACCATTCATCTCTCTTCCTCTACATTTTCAAAATTTAAATTATGTTAAAGAATTTTATCAAATTGTTATAAATTCATTTAAAATATGTACCTCCCACTGCATTTACACAGATAATCACAAGAGATACTCTTTATCTCACTCCTGTAATTGTTGTTAGTCACACATATATATATATATATATAAATAAACTATGAAATATGTATGCAAAGGTACCAACTATTATGAGAAGGAAAATGATGTTTTTTATAATTTTTCATTATAATTCTTTTTAAAATATTCAGATTTTTGTTACAAAAGATATAAAAAAAATTATTTTTAAACTAAATATTTGAATTTCAGTTTTAAATATAGATTAAATATTTAAAATAATTTGTTTAACAAATTTTCCTTTTTTTTTTTTTCTTTTTTATACTGTAATGGTGGGTGGCAGTTAAATTATTTTGTTTTTTTATTTGATTAAGTTTTCTTCTTTTTATCACTCTTCATCACAAGATTGCAACAGATTGAATTATTAAAATGGAGAAAGTGAAATAATCAGTTTCCATCGTCTCATGCCTTCTGCTGCCAACAGTATTTAAAAAATAATTTGCTATAAGGTTTTTGGGTTTTTTTTGTATACAATTTTCCTTATCTTTGTTATTTCCAGAACATTTTTTCATCAGTTTGATCTCCTGCCATCATCAGTTGACATAGTATGAACAAAAAACTGTACTTGGTATTAAAAAAAAAAAAAAAAAAAAAAAAAAATTGTTTTGGAAATAGCAAAAAAAAAAAACAGTAATAAATAGTGGAATATTAAAAAAAAAAATCTTTTTGCAATGAACAAAAAAATTGATAAGGGAATTTTTTTTTTTTATAATTTTTTAAACTAGCAAAAAAAAAAAATCACTAATTAAAAAATGGAGACTATAAAAAGTCAGTAATACAAAAAAAAATTACTTGAAAATATTTTTCTTTTTGAAACAAGCAAAAAAAAAAAACTTGATTAAAAAAAGGGAGTAAAAATGTTAGTAACAAAAAGGGGAAATGTTTTAAAAAAATTATTTTTCGAAACTGATAAAAAAGTTAATAAACAAAGGGGTATATGAAAAAAAACTAATTAAAGGAAAATATTTAAAAAAAAGAAAGACGAAATCTGCAAGTATTTTGTGATTAACAGAAATTTGCATTTTTATTTAACATTTTCAACACCTATTCAATAATAATATAAAAAAAAAATAATAAAAATAATAATTGTCTTCCCCCACCCACTTTTATTTTAGTCAGTTTTTCAAATTGTATTCTTGAATACAATAAGACATTTAGTTGCATGAACCAAAGTTTACAAGATACCAAAGAATCAGACAAAAAAAATGCTCTGAGAAATTTTATTTTCATTTAAAAATAAGAATGTTCCCTTAAAATCCCCTGCAAATATTTTTCCACTCCCTACTTTTCAGAAAAAAAAAAAACCTCCCTTGTAACCTTATTCTATTTAAATGAAAGGCTGAGATGAGTACAAGTTTTTCCCACTATCCAAAATATAAAACAAAGAAGCAATCATTATTAATTTATATGGGGGAGGGAGAAAAAATTCTAAGTTTTTCCCAGACCCCCCAAAATAACCTTTGTCTGTCTGCCTGCCTTCAAGGTTAATCATCTGACATGGAAGGCATGTAAAATGAATTTGTTTGAAAGGGTAGACTTTCACATTTTTTTTTATCATAATGTTCTTGATCAACACTGAAAACATCCAAGTGTTTCCAGATCTGACAAAATAACTTATGTTAACATAAAAAGTCAAGGTGAATTGTTTATTGTAACTGACATTGAAGAATTGAAATATGACAATAGACTATTTTCTGCACCTGCCTATCATTATGTAAAAAAAGTAACAGTTCATACAATTCTTGGCAGGTGTTGAAAAGATGTGAGTATACTCAAATTTAGATGAAGTATCCACATTCTATGTTTGTCTGCTTTTAAAAGTAAAGCTTCCTCATTTGTCGTAGTTAATACATATACTGCCGGAGGTCAATTTCTAAATTGAACTTCAAACACTAATTTTATAATAGCCATGTTAGGCAGTAAGAAAATTGACAATATTTAATCTTTGTGCCCACAAAAAAGGGTGTGGTTATTCCCTTGACCATTTTTTATTCTATTACACCATTTTTTTTTATTTATTTTTTTTATTTTTACTCCCTCAACAATGTTTATTTATAAAATTATAAAAATGTAAACCAAGTATAATGTGATATTCATTATTTTCCATTTTATAAAAAAATAAATCTGAAAACTCTTTTTATTGAAAAATTTATAAAAAAATTTATAAAAAATTACAAAATTATTATGTAAATCAACAACAATGAAATATTTGTGGTAAAAATTAGACATTCTTTAATTAAACAAAAGGAAAATTTTGTCTGTCCAATGAATAGGAAAATACCTGCTAGAAATATTGCGTGTTTGCAGTCTTGACTAAAACCTAAAATTAAAAGAAAGTTAGATTGTGAGCATTTCTTCATCTAAACCAATTTTAGTGAAATTATGTGGCAAGAGCAAATGAAAGAAAAACCAGCAAAATTCATTTTTTCAAAAATTTATTATTACAGTTACTCGTCATTATGTATTTATTGAAATTTTCTTATTCAAACATTTTTAGAAATCTATAAATAAAATTTCTTTTCAGATTTTCTTTCTTTATAAAATGGAAAATGATAAATATAGTTGGTTCACATATTTTTATAATCTTATAAAACAAAAATTATTCTTGTAAATAAGCAATGTAATAGTGTTTAACATCTTTGTTGTCAGTTCTCAAGAACAAAGCAAATGTATAAATCCACATTCATGTGTTTGGGTTTTATTAAAATTCTAATCATTGCTTATAAAAAAATAAACATTGCCAAGCGAGTCAAAAAACTCATGTGATAGCAGCATCAAGGCAATAAATAGCCTTTTAACAAACCCTATTTTGCAGGTGGGAAGGTTAAACATTGCCTAGAAATCTTTTTAAAATGCTTCTTTTATGTATTTTCAAATATTTGCCATATAGTTGCTGGTGAAATTTTTCTTTTCTACCTTAGACACCAAATACCAGTCAATTTATGTTAATAAAAACAGACAAAAAAAAAAGAAGAAAAAAAAAAACTTGTCTTGTTGCTTGTGGTCTTGCCATTAAGGCTACAATCACAACTCATGATCAGTATCATAATAAAAACTGCCAACCATGAGTTATCTTGTGGTTGGCAGTGAAGGTGAAAGGCTTTCTTTTATCATATGCTTGATAAATATTGAAAGCATCTTTCAAATCTTTCCTAAATCTATATGCCCTGTCAAAAGGGAATTCACGCTTTTCTTCAATCATTGTCAGTCATAGTAAAAAAATCAATTTCATTAAAGGGTTCGTTTCTTTTCTCTCTTTTTTTTGGTCTGGGAACTCTCAAATATTTTCTCCAAGAGAAACCTGTTATTGTTAGACTAGGGAATGATTATCTGTGTGTCTGCAGACGCATCTTCCCCATTCACTTCTTTAAAGATCAGTCCATGCCAATTCTTTAATTTTGATGACTATCCTCAGCAATTCAGCAAGCCATGAAGGCCAACATAACATTTAAGCATTAGGTCCTTCTCTTAGATGGTAAGATTAGCCATTTCCATACAGGAAACATTCAGAATTCATTGACCAAGCAGTTGGCGTTACTGATGGTTGAAATTTATAAAATCTCTTATTAAAACTGTTTAAAATAGTTTTACCATTAAAATGCATTGCCAATGATTTTTACTGTAAAAATTAATTGCAAATTATTTCAAACTAGTTATTTACATAACTTATCTTGAATTGGTTGAACAAATTTATACACATTTTCATTCGCTCTAAAAATTATATAAAACAAATTTTCGCAAGTTTAGAAAGCTTTTGACTCGATTGTGCGTTGAAAATGAGGAAGAAAAGGATTGTCAGTGGTCAGGAATGAAGGCAAGCATTACTGATAGTTTTTGTTATTACTTAAATTTCTTTTTGTCTCAAGACCTTTATTTGCTTGAAGTAATTTTTAATCATGTGAGAAAATGATAGTATATAGACATTTCTGAATTGGCTTGATGCTATGCATGACATCCACATGAGAGTCTAGATCTGACATGGCTATTTAAGAGCAACTTGAATTCATTCTCAGTTTAATATTTTTGGGTTGTAGCATCTTAGGGTAGATAGCCCTCGGGTATGAGTAACAATACTTCTGCACGATAGATTATGTGGAAGGGCTGATTTATTAAGAAAAGATGGATTCATGCCTTTTCCCAAAGGCAATTAATATGAAGTGGGCTTGACTGCATCAGTCAGAGTTTGAACTCTATTTGGTAATTCGATTTTCCATGCTGATAACAGTGAGGCCACATGTGGAGGACCGGTAACTAGATTTTAACCCTTAGGAGACAACAGCTGATCTATCAGCTGAAAAGTCAAATTACACAGACGACGATTGGGCCGGTCCATTGGCTCGGTAATACAAGCCATGAGATTGGCTGACTGGTCGTCATAGCAGCCAATCATATTGCTTCTCACATTTCTTGCACATCTGGGCCTTTTCAATGGTGGTTTCTATAATAGTTTGCCATGTTCTGTGATTCTATGTTGATTTTTTTTTTTGTGCTCCAAGTGAGGGTTTGTGAAAAGGGCTTCGTCGTCTTGGCACTGAAACTCCAAATGAGGCTCAGTCTCCAAAGGATTAAAGGCTGTTAAATTGTAGCATTTTGATTTTACTGATATTTGATGTTCTAAGATTGATGGTTAAAAGAAAGGTTTGAGTAGATAAAGCTTTGTAGGCCTCAGTGAAGACTGTCCTTCTTCAAACCTCATCAACTCATGCTACAGAATCACAAATGTTCATCGGCCAAATGTCCGAGTACCAAATATGATTTATATTTGTGCTATAATTACAGCCACATCACCATATATTGGTGACAAAATGAATTCTGCAAATATTATGAATATCATTGAATCTATCAGTTTTTTTTCATTGAGCTTTGATTTACTTATACCCATGATACTTTTATGAGTGAGTGAAGACAGGGGACCTTGACGGACCACACTTCTATGAACCTTGTGGACTTGTGCTACAGAATCACAAAGAACTGTACCAAATAACAGAAACAACATCACTTGAGGTCTATCAACAGCTAACATGTAGCTCAAAGAGAAAATAATGATATAATCAAGATGTTGATGTTCTACACCACTTTAAACAAAAGGTTAGGAAGGAAACTCCCATCAAGACTGGAAAGAGTGATAACATTTACAAGACTTGAGAAACTTATTTTCCCAAAAAATTGTTTTAAGAGAAAGGTTTTATAAATTTCAACCATAAGCAGTACTGAAGGAAATGGCTAATATTACCAATACCATTTTAACAGCGTCATCAGAGGCGGCATAAATAACTGTCTACCATTCATCCAGGCTTAGAATATTGCTGCCATTTATGGTCCAGTTCCCCTGCTATTTACCTTGAACTCCTTGATAAGACCCAAAGATGAATCAACAATATTATTGGTCCTGATCTGGCAGCTTAGCTCCAGTCACTTTCCTACTGTCTTTTCTATAAATACTTTTATGGTAATTGTTGAATCAATCAATTTTTTCATTGAGCTTTGATTTACTTATACTTGTGATACTTTTATGAGTGAAGTGAAGCCAGGGGACTTTGACGGACAATACTTCAAATCTTGTGAACTGGTGCTACAGAAACACAAAGAACTGTACCAAATAACAGAAACCACATCACTTGAGGACTTTCAAGAGCAGCAACAACTAAATTGGATAGCACATGTAACTTGAATATTAAAAAAAAATCTTGGTTAAGTCATTATTTTCTCATGTTCCCCCCCCCCCCCATACAGTGCCACTTGAAGTAGAGGCTTACTGAAGAAGCTTCTTGTGTGAGTGGTAAGAGGTGCAGTTTATGAGGCTATGGGCAAAAGATAGTGGTTATGGTTGTAAGGGTTTCGAAAGCCTTCTCGAGTTTCGGTTTTATAAAGAAGCAGTTTGTGGGAAGATGCTTTTCTCACTAATGGATTACGAAGGTGGTTGCCTCCATAGGTGGGTCTTAAGGTGGAATTAAGGAATCTAGCTCATCTGAACATTTTCCACAGAAATAGCAACAGATTAATGAGAGGCTTGCAACCTAATTCATCACCCACAAGGTTGTGTAGACACTTATCACGACTAGAAACTGGCAGCAGTACTTCATTTTCGACCCGATCTGTTGGTAGAGATAGCAGGAGGAGTCGGGTATTTACTAGTGCCGTACAGGGAACTGACAGTTTTTCCAACATCTTTAGCATTGGATTGTATATACAAGGTCCACTCAAGTTTTGCAGAGGGCTTAAGTTCCAATCAGTGTTCATTGTAATAGATGAAAATTCTAGATGATACTAGTTAAATATTGAATATGGCCAGCTAGTTCCCCCAACCCCACTGAGCTATAGGAGAGATCAAGTGCCAGGCTCTGGTTGTCTAGACTTTGGGAGGTGCACCCATATACCATTGTATTTTCTGCATAGATATTCACAAAAGATCAGAGTATACTCATTAGGTAGATCATTAATCCACAGGAGAAAAAGGGTGGGAATGAGGAGCAAGCCTTGGTGAGGACACCTGCATTGATCTCAAAAGGCCTTCGACTGGCTTGTTAACAGCTACCTTCATGCACCTATCTATTAAGAAGCGCATCCTGGGTATGATGATAAACTACATCCAGCAGCAAGGCCTCTGATCAGGAGGTTTTGAGGAGCATAGAACCACCTCTTAATTGCTGGTATTCCCAGGTTCACTCTCACCCAGAGTGGTAGTACCTGTTAGGGTCCCAGCTATGGGCAAATAGTTAACCTTGAAACTGGGGTAAAAACACTATGAAAGTGTAAAAATAGGTTTTAATACCAGAAATACGGCATTAATTAATCCATTGAGGTTGATATGCTGTAAAACAAACCAAACCAAACTATTAGGAAGCACTTGATAATTGAAAAGACTCTTCCAGGTATTTCATAGCTGTAGAGTTTATCTAGTACCCCCTCCATGCTACACCTTGTTGAAGGTTTGCACATGACATTCCACACTACTCCAAACATAAAGTGAGGAAGGCAACCACCATTAATGCTGGAAAGAGCAATAACAGTTACTGAACTTGAGAAAACTATTTTTCTGAAAAAATATTTTTAAAAAGATTTTATAAATTTCAACTGACAGAAGCACTGGCGATTGGTTTGTTTTATGGCATATCAACCTTAATGGGTTATTTAAGGCCATCAGAATTTTTGTTGCGGATAATATTTTTTTCCAAAAATATTACCTGCAACAAAAATATTACTTGCAATATTTTTCTTTTCCAAAAATATTACTGGTAATAATTTTTCTCAAAAAGTCTTGCTGGTATTAAAACCTATTTTTATACTTTCATAGTGCTTTTACACCCTTTGGTGTGTGTGTGTGTGGGGGGGGGTAACTATTTTCCCATAGCTGAGACCCTAACAGGTGTTACGGGTGAGGGTGGACCTGGGAACACTAGCAATTAAGAGGTGGTTCCATGCTCCTTAGAACCTCCTGATCAAAGGCCTTGCTGTCAGATGTTGTTTATCGTCTTACCCAGGACACAGATGTAGTTTATCATTTTACCCAGGACACCTGGCTGTTAGGTCAATGAATGCTGAATGTTACCTTATAAGGAAATGGCAAATATTAACATTGAATTTATTGGACATTAGAGAATGATCATGATAATTATTAGTGTCCTACTGCTAAGTGGCTGGAGAATGTATGGCACCAAAGTAAACGTATAATTTATTGCAGTTGAGTATTTTCAAAACACTGCCGCAAAAAAATGGTCTGAAATTTTTTTTTGTTCTAAATCCCTTGTGAAATTTTTTTTTTAATTGTTTAAGTCAACTCAAGAATGACAATCTTGTACAAAAATTTCTATTTCTTACACATTTTGACGTGCTTTTTTTCATTCTCTCTTTTCTGATTTCTTTTCTTTCACCCACTTTGCTGTGCTCTTTTCCCTCTCTACTCTCTTTGATATATGCTTTCCCTTCCTCTCTATTTGATGTGCTCTTTTCCTGCCCATCTTTCTTTGGTGTGTTCTTTTCTCCTTCTTTTGCTGTGCTCTCTTTGATGTGCTCTCTCCTCCCCTCTCTTTGGTATATGCTTTCCCTTTCTCTTTCTTTGATGTGCTCTTTTCCCTCCCATCTCTCTTTGGTGTGTTCTTTTTCTTCCTCTCTATTTGATGTGCTCTCCTCTCCTTTCTCTTTGGTGTGTCCTTTTCCTTCTGCTCTCTTTGGTTTGTCCTTTTCCCCTCCTTTTGCTGTGCTCTCTTTGATGTGCTCTCCCCTCCCCTCTCTGGTATATATTTTCCCTTTCTCTTTCTTTGGTGTGCTCTTTTCCACTCCTTTTGCTGTGCTTTTTTTTTCAGTGCGCTTTTCTTTCTTTCTTTCACTCATTATGCTGTCCCCCCCCCATCTCTCTTTGGCGTGTTCTTTTCCTCCCTCTCTTTTTGATGTACTCTTTTTTTTTCTTTCAAGTGCACTTTTCTTTTCTTTTTTTTCTTTCCCTCTTTGCTGTGCCCCCTTTTGCCTTCTCTCTCACATGTAAGCCGTCTTCTTCGCTGATTAACCATGACAGCAACAAACTTGACATTTTTCAATCACTCCTGAGTCTTTCTTTCTCCCTTGTAAATATTTTGTATTAAGCAAATTGGAGACTCCACCCCCACTCCCATCACCACACACAATGCATAAAACTTCCCCCCCACTTCCCGCTACAATTTTGTAGGCCCTTGAAATTGTAATAAATTACTGTAAATTCCTTTTGTAAGAAATGACTTTATAAATTAAGATAAAAACGTATTCAATAAATTAAAATATAAAATTTGACATACCTCATTCATGTGTTGTTTTTATTATTGACACCTCCCCCTACTTTCTTCTTTTGGCAAAGTTTCAAACGTCTATGGCCATGATCACCCGTGATCTGAAGGAACATGACATTTGATCATCATCTGTATGCCATCACATCGCAAAATGGTCTCAAACGTCTATGGCCATGATCACCCGCGACCTGAAGGAACATGACATTTGATCATCATCTGTATGCCATCACATTGCAAAATGGTCTTTAAAAATTCCTAGTAACAAATTTGTAGATTGTGACTTATCCCAAAATGTTCATGTAATAAAATTCAATGTCCTTTGTAATTTCTGATACCAAAACGATTCTAAAATGCAGTCATATTTTAGCATCAAGTGCATTTTAACTTTGTATATTTGTTGTCATGGAAAAGAGTTTTAAATTCTAGTTGGGACTGTGACTATGGAATTGCTCAGTTCTTTGAAGACAGGTCTTTTAATAGCACTAACTTTTTTCTAAGTTCTTCTGATTATCATTTCTCTTCAGATAAATGATGACAAACATCAAGGGAACTCAGTAAATAAAAAGTCATGCTATAAGTGTTGCCTTAAAGGCAGAGCAGAGTGATATAGAGACAGCTTGCTTTCTGAAAATTGCACTGTTGTTTGTTCTCAAGGTTTACAAAGATCTGGAAACTACTGACAGCATTTACAACTGTCGCCAGACATAGAACACTAGCCAAGGGTCATAAGACCATCAGAACATCCAAATTTGCACAAAAAGGCACAGAAAATTATCAATAAGAACTCCAGAAAGTCAATGCCATTGTTAAGGAACTCACGATGCTCTATCAGAAGAAATGTGCTGAAGGACCTTTGATACAAATCATATGTGATGCAGAGAAGCCAATTCATATCTGCAAAGACAAAAGATGACCATCTGATCCAAGCAAAAGCACTTGTTAAGCAAGTTGAAACGTCAGCAGCCTAGAGTGCTTTGGTTTTCTCTAATGAGAATAACTTTAATCGCTGTCATAAAGTTATCCAAAGGATTGACATATGATTTCTTTCATCACATACCTCGGCCGAAAGATAACGTTTTAAATATATTTAATAACAGATAGACTGGTCCTATTTATACACCTGTTGTACAGGGTTGCTCAGTTCTTTGAGTGGATGTCTTAACAGTTCCACCTTTTTTTCTAAATTGTTCTCATTACCATTTCTCTTAGCTTGTCATTTATTCTAACTCGGCAAATAAAAAGGCACAATGTAATCGTGGCCTTAAAGGCAGGGCATAGTGATTTAGAGATGGCTTGCTTCCTGGAAGTTGCACGGTTATTTAATATCAAATTTTACAAAGATCTGGTAGCCGCTAACAGGAAGTATCCAGCAGTAGCCAAACATAGCCAAGAATCCTAGTAACATCATCAGAACACCCAAATTTGCACAAAAAGGCACCGAAAATTATCAATAAGAACTCCAGAAAGTTAAGGAACTCAAGATGCTCTATCAGAAGAATTGTGCTGAAAGACCTTCGATACAAATTATATGTGATGCAGAGAAGCCAATTCATGTCTGCAAAGACAAAAGATAACCGATCCACACAAGGCCTTTGTTGAACAAGTTGAAACATCAAGAGCCTGGAATGCTTTGGTTTTTCTCTGATGAGAATCACTTCAATCAAGGCTAAAAGGTCAACCGAAGGAATGGCATATGATTAAGCAGAGACACTAACAATGTTCTATCCTTTCTTCAGGGCTTAAGTGTCAATGCTGGTGACTCTAAAAAGGTGTCGAAGAGGGTTGTGAAACCTTGGATAAAGAGCATGAGCAAAAGAAGACCGTATATATGTAATCTCAACTTTATGCTTCCATATAAAATGAATATTATTTGAGAGGTGGTCCTATGACAGAGTCACCAGTAAGATAAATTCATATTATAAACATGGAGTAGTTGCATATGAAAAGGAATACAAATTCAGTGTTGAGAGAGAGGTCATTTAACAGCTCCAACATTTTTTCTAACTTGTTCTGATTACTAGTTCTCTTCAGATAAATGCCGACCCACATCAAGCGAAATCAGCAAATGAAAAGGCACATTGTAGTCAGCAGAGTGATTTAGAGATAATAAAAACTCCAGAAATTCAATGCTATTGCTAAGGAGCTCAAGATGCTCTATCAAAAGAATTATACTGGAGGACTTTCAATACAAATCATATGTGATGCAGAGAAGCCAATTCATATCTGCAAAGACAAAAGATAACCATCTAATCCACACAAGGCCCTGATTGAACAAGTTGAAACATCAAGAGCCTGGAATGCTTTGGTTTTTCTCTGATGAGAATCACTTCAATCAGGGCCAAAAGGTCAACTGAAGGAAACACATGATTTCTTTCATCACATACTGTGGTCAAACAAATAACGTTCTAGACATATTTAATAACAGATAGACTGGTCCAATTTTGACACTGGTTGTACAGGGTTTTGCTCAGTTCTTTGAGGACACAACTTTTAACAACTGTAACTTTTATCTAACTTGTTCTAATTATCATTTCTTTTCAGATAAATGATCGCAAATATCAAGTGAACTCGGCAAATGAGAAGGTACACTTTAATCATTGCCTTAAAGGAAGAGTATAGTGATTTAGAGATTGCTTGTTTGTTGTCAATGTTCGCAAAGAGCTGGAAGCCACCGATAGGGAATCTAAAGCCATAGCTAAATGTAAAATGTCTAAGGGACCTAATACCATCAGAATACACAAATTTGTATGAAAGTGTTATGGTCCGGTTCCTTGTACCACGGTGATAGTCCAAGGTAGAACAAATGAAGAAGAACTTGATCACAGGTATGGAATCACACAGATATATTACACACAGGAATATATACAGAGAAGTAAAAGTGTTAGTATGAACAATCAGGTTTAGTAGAGAGAACAATCTAGTCTCGACCAGTATCACTATTCCAATGTCTTGCAGCAATTGTCTGAATGTGATTCTGTTTCGGACTGCCTCTGACTCGACTCTTGACTCAACTTGAATTACTGACTGAGGCGCAGTATTTATTAAGTATGGAATAGTCCATTATTATTATTATTATTATTGGTAAGATCCCATAACAGAAAGGTTCAGAAAATTATCAATGAAAATCCCCAAAAAGGCAGTTGACACCATTACTAAGGAGTTCAAGGTTTCAAGGCATTCTATCAGAAGAATTGTGCTGGAGGACCTTCAAGTCATATGTGATGCAGAGAGGACAATTTAAGTCTGCAAAGACAAAAGATCCACATAAAGCACTTATTGAGCAATTTGAAACATCATGTGTCTAGAATGTTTTAATTTTTCTCTGATGAGAAAAACTGATCAAGACCAAAAGAATGGTTTGTTAGGCAGAAACCCAAAGAATATTCCAACCATCATGTACACAACATTTCAGGCAACTGTCAATGTTGTGGGGTATGGGCAAGTTGATTTTTCACTATTCTTTAGAAAATCAACATTACACTCATTGCAGTTTGATGTGATACCAAAAATTAGATTCCTACAGTGGAGTAATGCATACTGGCTCGGATTGAGGAATCAGAGAGCAGAGTTTGAATTCCAATCGAATCCATTACATTCATTTATGTGCTAATACCCTTGGGAAAGGTATGAATCCCCTTCTCTAGCTATGGGTAAATAGCAGGACAGACTGGGTTCTATAGCCTTGGATGGCACCCAGTTTACTGCAGAAAGAAATGGCAACATACTGCAGAAAAAATATGCCTTGTCAGTCATATATCGAAAGAGACATGATTGCCTAAGCATGTATCACGCATGGCACATAACTGACTGAAGTGAAGCTTTTACCAATTTTTGGACATTTAGATTTTAAAGATCATCTGAAAAAATGTCCAGAAATTCCTAATTTCTGAAGGTTTTTGATTACAAACTGACTTCAAAATTTTACTATTTCAAGAATAAATCCAAATAAAGTTAGTATCTTTTGTATTAAATACATTGAATGGAAAATATATTAAAACCAGAATTTTAGTTATGAATCACTACAAGCAAAATATGCAGTTCTTTTTGCTGATAAGTAAAATTGTGTAAAGAAAAAAAAAAGATTTTAAAAGATTATAAAAATGGCTACTCAATGAATAAGATTTGTTAGTTCATAATTAATGCTGTAACCTAGGAAAAGGTTACTGAATAAGAATAACCAAAATAAAGATTGGAAATGGAACGATAATATTTATAACATTAACAACATTTTTAAATATTATTTTGTGTCAGAGGATTTAATCTGTTTGATTGAAAATTTCCTCTTCATGACAATTCATTGAAACTATGAACTTTAAAAATTTCCGATTTATTTTCCTGAAACGAGCTACTGACACTACTTCAAGCATGTAAATTGGTAAATAAATTCCTTATCTTTTGTTAAATTTATCCGTGTGTCCTCACTATTATCTGCTTCCATTAATCTTCTTGGCATAGGTTAACCAACTGTTCATTTTAATCCCAAAGTCCCATGTCACTATAAAAACAATAAAAACAAAATGAAGACAGATGATAATGATTGACATTGCATTTAAATATATGAAGATCGTACTTGACTGGGAAGCAAGAAATCAAAAGAAGGGTTCCACAAGTAAGGAGTGCGAGAGAAGGAACTGTTAACATAGAACTTACGGTTACACCTAGCTATTTCAACTGTAAGATGATGAGACCTATATCAGTTTAGCTGCACTAACACCACATATTCAGATTTTTTTGACAATTTCATCAGGTCTTCAGAAATTTAACATCTGAAATCTATATTTTTATTACGCTATTGTTCACTCAATACAAGACCCGGGAGCCACTCAAAGTAGAGAGTTACTGAATGGGACTGTTTTATGGATGTAAGAATTGTATATTATAAGGATATGGAGGATAGGTATCAGCTGAATCTGGGCTTGAAGATTGTAGTAGTCAGGGAAGCATCCTCTCAGGAGCATGTTCCACAAAGAAGCAGCTCTTGAGCAGAAGATGAATGGAACTTTCTTTTTGCAAAGGAATTTCGAAAGTGGATGAGGATGTCTCCTGATATCAATACCAATTTGGAAATTAGACAATACTTGGATAAAATCCATGAAAGATAATAAAAATATATTGATTACAAATTAAAATAATGTTAAAATAAAAAAAAAAGACTTCCGTTTCATACATTAGTTCGATGATGACCCCAAATGAAATATATATGATTATGTAGTGAACTACAGCAGAGGACAAAGAGAAAAATGCATTTTTTGCAACGTTAGAATAACATAACTTACCTCCAGGGTAAATAAAGATTTGAACGTGCCTGGCGTGTAAACTGTTTAAAGAGGAAAGAAATGGCGGTTTCGCGGGTTATAGTGATTTTCCAAATGCAGCTTAGATGTAGCACAAGGCCGAAACGGGGGGGGACATCCATCGAGGATCGAACTCACTACTCAGACGTAATTGTTCTACGAGACAAGCTCGCCAACCATTACACCGCCTCGAGGTTGGCCGGCTTCACGGGTTATATATCTAAAACAGATACATCCTTAAGTCAGATACTCTCACGTGAGGTTTTGTTCCCGACACTCTTTTCTCTTATGATCCATGTTGAGATTCCCAATATTCCCAGTTTGGTTTTGTCCCCTGAGTCAGCCTTTGTTTTTTTCACCATTCTGTCATTTATTTTTACCCTCACCATTCCATTAGTGAGTGTGCTGCTCGATTCTGTCTATCAGCAGAATACAGCGGCCTATCTTATTATTTCGAGGGGTGGACAGGTCCTACTAATATTTGTTTTGATTTATCTTTGTGTTACATTTTAGTTTGTTTTTCTCCTCCCCCATCATTTCATGAATCATGAAATTTTTATATATTTTTGGTGAAAATGAAAAGGGGAAAAAAAAGGGGGGGGTAATTTTGAACTCTCATCAGATTTTTATCTCATGGGGTGTTTTGTAGCCCCCCACCCCCGGTGAATATGCGGTATTTGGGTGTATGCTGAATCGAGAGGTGATGGCTAAGTTCTTATGGTGAACGAGTAAATTGTAATGAATGAATAGACCGTGAATCTGATTAACTAGGACGAGTATAGCTAAGGAAGACAAGCCCACTCCATATTAAGCCATGTGCCACAATTTCTGTATTTTCAGAAATAAATATCCTCTCGTGAGGTTATCTTTGCGCATATGTAAATTTTGGTTGTAAATGACGCATAAAATCGGGGAGAATGATTTACTTCTGTTGAATTGGATTCAAGTTGGAAAGTTTACTCAGGTGGTACGGTAATAACCGGGTCTGTAGGATTAATTTGTCCCGATTGACCAGTGCTTTTTTGTGACCTTTTATTTTTTTAGCGTTTTGTACAGACAGGTTTTTTTTATGCCATTCCTACCTTGTCTATAATGGACGAGGAGGGCATTGATAGAACCGTGAAAGGTCTATTTGCAACCCCTGAAAAAGGGTTATGTGAGAAAAAGGACCAATCTACAACTCAGAAACTGGCAAAAAAGGGAAGGACAAAGAAGGACGTGGAAAAAAGGGAAGGACAAAGAAAATTCGATTACTGCCTTTCCCTTCATCTGGAAGTCGCCACCTCGATGCGTCATATACATTGAGGAATTTGTAAAGGAACCTAGGCAATATGGCCACCTAGTCACACCAGACGGACTAATAACAAACCCTCCAGAGTTGGAAGCAGCGAAGAAAAGAATTACCGTATTTGACGGTGTATAAGACGCACCCAAATTTCCGCAGGGCAGATCAAGAAAATAATTAGTAACTAGTAAAATTAGTAAACCTAAATGTCATATAAGACGCAGGGGAATTTTAAAAGATATTTTTAGTTTAAAAAAAAAAAAAAAAAAAAAAGTGCGCCTTATATGCCATCAAATACGGTATTTCTGTTTTTGTCATTGACAAAAAAATAAACAAGTCAACTAAATCCAATGAGGATTACGTCATTAAGATGTTGGCAGAGTCGGGAGTAAAAATCTAACAAATAGTTAAGGGAAAGAATTTCCCTATATGGCAAATACTATTGTCAACCCTAGAAGAATATATAGCACTGACAAAGAGGGATCTGCAAATAAAAAATCGCATATTGAGGGCCGAATACCAAGAATAACGATGTCCACGTGTTACTGCTTATGAAGTGCCCAGCTTTATTTCTGGTCAACAGGTTGGGGCATTTTTAATGCAATATGGAGATCTGATAAAGGTGATTCCAGATAGAAAGATAGGAGAGTGGCAGTAATTCGTAATGAGAAGCCACAAATCTTTCAACACAGCCCCCAACTGGATACTTTTAAATAGCAGAAAATTGACACTTATTTCAGGACAATCAGTCAGTAGTTCACTTTTGAACCGACTGTTCGGTTGAACTCTCTTCCTACGGACGGGAGGAACTCGAAGGAGGCTACGCCGAAGGGCAGAGTCTCCTTCGGGGAGGTAGACCGGCCCTGAACCAGTTTATACGGGTTCAATGGGCATATTTTTGGCCGAGCCCACGGGCTCGGAATGCCCACGTTAAAAAGGCCTTGTGCCACATGACACCCTCGTGGGGGTGACTGAATATGAATATCATCATTTCAGGACGGAAACCAGTTTGTGCCGATCTGTATCGCGCACACATACGTACATACACAAATACAAAACACATACAACGACAAGCATTCATTGGTTAATTAATCACCACTACATTATTATAGACAATTTACAAATCGCAGCAATGTAACAATTTTGTAATCGCTCTATTTCTATGTAGTCAATTTTGGGCACTTCTGGGAGAAACGGATCCCAGAAGCTTTCTTGAGTCTCCCCCAAACCCACTCGCTGATTGGTCAATGCCAACCAATCAGATTGTCTGCACATGAAGAATAACTCTTCCTGTGCAGCGATTCAGAGCCTATGGTCACCTATATAAGCAAGAAATATTCTTACCTAATTAGTGAGAATTCAGCTGCTAAACGAATCCACGACAGTTGAAACCATGCGCCAACCTTCTCACTCACACCACCACTCACATGCTGAACATTCCTTATACGCTCAGATAATCTTTTCTTATACAACAAATCTGTTGAGAACATTTATTACAAGAAACTCTTATAAACTTTCTTTCAGTGAACTTTGAAATACAAAAATATTAATTAAAGAGAGACAACTCTTGTTTTATTCAACCTTTTCTTACTTCAATGCATGCTTTCTTTCACATTGTTGTACATCTTGTTAAATACGTATTCTATGTGTAATGATGTCTTTTGCTTATCCTTTTTCATGTAAGTTTTGTTTCCTAATCTAAAGTTAAATAATGTGATGAAGTCCGCCACAAGTTTGTTAGCAATGTGGCCAGAATGGGCATCTCTCCGCAGTTTGTCCTGAAAATGGAAAAAGTGTGGAGAGTGCACAAAATCAGAGACCTTTTCCTCCTAATGAGATGAACAAAACTAATAATCATGAGAATGATGTGATTTTTACCCGATGCAACACCAAAGATGGCAGAAAAGTTGGAAGATGATTGGCAGATAGTCTCGAAATATATATATATCTCAGTTGCCTCCTCACTTCTAAGCCCCAGTACTAAAAAGTGGGGAAAGACCAGCTACGGAACCAACCATATTATATGCAAGCCCTTCAAAAGAAAAGAAAGAGAAACTTTTGATTATTAAGAAACAACTGGAGACCAAAAAAGAATCAGTGAAGAGAGATGCCTCCCACCCCGCAGGAAAATGCCCTCTCCCAGGATGCATCTTCATCATCAGAAAAAGAGACAATAAATCTTATGTCCCCACACCGAACTCATTCTCTCACTCCCAAATCCTCACCTTCAAAAAAAAATCAATTCTCCCACCCCCTTACCCAGTCAACTCTCCCATCCCCTCTACCATCAACACCTTTCAAAAGACGAAGAAGCTCCTTGTTGGGAGGTTCAGAAAAGGAACTCCCCCCCCCCCCAACGCTCTACATAAAAACCGGCCTTGTGCCACATCCTGCCTTGTGGGGAGGTTGGTAAATACTAGTCCTCTGATGGTCCCTGAATTAAATATGATTATAAAGGATTAATTACGATTACAAATTAAAACAATATTAAAATATCCTGTTTGATACACTAGTCCCTGGTGATCCCAGAATTATATATGATTATAAATAATTTAATTATGATTACAATTCAAAATAATGTTAAAATATACCAAAGGACATCCATTTGATACACTAGTCTCCTGATGACCCCAGAATTGAATATACAGAGCAACCTCGGTTTTCGAATGTCTCACATGTCGGACAAATCGGTTTTTGAACAGAAAATTCGAGATGAAAATGCCTCGGTTATCGTACAAAATTTCGATTCTCGAGCGACATTGCCGAGCTGAGTTAACCTGAATGGAATCATTTCTGAGTCGACCGCCGTGTTGTACACATTAATGTGTTGTTCTGTGATTTTCTTTTCCAATTTTATTGTACTGTGACTTCTCTACATTGATTCCTATTGGACAAATAGTTTCGGTTTGCAAACGGCCTTCAGGAACGAATTAAATTTGTGAACGAAAGTTCCACTGTATATGAAAAAAAATTAAATTGCCATATGGATGTGTTGCAATTAGTTTATTTTTATTTCTCTGTTTTTCCTAAATATTCCTTTTGAAATTCTAAGTTCACGTATTATGGGAAAGACAATGATTAGTACAGGAAAAAAGTCTCTGAATCGTTGTGAAAATCTACAAACAAAAACAAACCTATTTGTCACAGAAAGTGGAGTAGTGAGGAAAGGATACGTTTTCTCAAGGACTTCGTGGTCATAAGCTTAGCTACACATGAGTTGCAGATGGCAATGTGTTGTTGGCGAAAAAATTAGAAAAAGAAATGAAATTATTATGAGAAGAGGGAATTAGAAAAAGCAAAAAAAGACGAAACGTCAATTGTAAGAAAACAGATGGATGGTTGTTAGCTAAATGGACCGGCCCAACTGTGAGTTACACAATGGGGATATTAAAATTAAATAACAGAAAATATCCCACAGAAAATAAAAGATACATTGGAATAGCAAAAGATGTTTTCAGAAACTGAGTAAATAATACATACCATAATTTCTTGAAAATACGCACCCATAAATAATACGCACCCCAACAAATGATCCAAAAATTAAGAAATATATCTATCTTATGTATAATACGCATCTATAAATTTTCTCAAATTATTTTAATTATTTTTTTTTTACTATGAAAATGTATTATGATATTTTTTTTTTACTATGAAAATGTATTTTTATATTTTCATGTTTTGACCTCAGTTTGGGGAGGTCACTATTTGCCCATATTATATATATTTGCTATTTATATATATACGGGTTAGTGGTGCATTTGTTTATTTATAGCCGAGAAAAATAACAGCATATGTGGCCTGACGATTGCATATAGCATGAAACAGACTGTCGCCTCTAAGTGTTGACTTCTATGTTGACTTCTATATATATATATATTGAACACTTTTTTATATATATATATATATATATATATATATATATATATATATAATATTTTATATATATATATATATATATATATATATTGAACACTAATATTTTATATATATATATATATATTGAACACTAATATTTTATATATATATATATATATATATATAATATATAATATTTTTTATATATATATATATATATATATATATATATATATATATATATATATATTGAACACTAATATTTTATATATATATATATATATATATATATATATATATATATATATATGTATAGGGGCAGAGATCAGTTGGGACCATTTTTGACAGATTGGACTAACAGATCAGATTTTCCCTTCATCCAGTCAGAATTCTCTCCCTTTCCTATCACCGCTCTGTCCATCTCAGCGTTATGACATGCAGCTGGCAAATCAGTATTGGAACTTTTAGAAAGCAGCCTGACACTAAATCAATCCAAACTTTGACTGTTAAGTTAACCCTGTGAACGGAAGTCTTCAATGTTCGGTTTATTGTCACCTGTTCCCAAAAGTTTGCATTTATTTATTATTTTATTCTCTTTTGGTCAAGTCCGTGGGCCGCTTTGAAGATCTCATTTCACAGATTTTATTGCTTATCATAAAAACACAAAACAGTTAAGACAGAGATAAAAGTGCACACTATCTTCTTGTGTCAGAAAGAATTATAAAGAAAATTTTGATAATCCGAAAATGACAGGTGAAATTCTTAAAACACAATAAAGAAAGAAGGCTTTGAGAAAAACATTTACATGGCACATTGACAGCGGGAGAAGCAGAGAAAAAGAAGTAAGCTATTTTTTTTAGTTTATATAGTTAGTGCATTAGTAGTACAAAGTCAAATGGAAGTTATAAAGGAGCACGTATAGGTGAGAGAAATAAAAGCAGGAAGCTGTGGAAAACCATGATCGCCTAACTTTACTGCAAAGAGAGCAAACATTTTTAGATATTCTCAATTCACATATACAAATCTTGTGTCACATTTCCTTTGAATTGCATTTGGAAGGAAGAAATTCTACTCAGTCTTTTTCCCCGAACTATGGAATGAACTCCTGAGAAGATGCTCCCCAAGTCATTATGATCTTAACTGTTGTATCCTTAAAAAGGTTACAAAGTTGGTACTCGAGTGAAAGCAACAGCAACAATGGCGTAGTGAGGTTTATTGTAAAAGAGAATACACTACTGAAAGACTAACACTTCCTGAAGCCAGTCAGACTGATAGACAGACGGGCTGATAGACAGACTCTGGTATGTCCTGTACACACAACATATATTACTGATATAGCCAGTCCACCATAGGTAATAGGGTGAGTGGAACATTCCATTATAACATTAACCTTTTCAAGTTTCAAGTCAACCATTATCTATCCTACATATCCTCATAATATACACGTTTTACTTCTTTTTCTTATGTCTACACAATAACTTCATCCAGTAATCCTCTAACTAGAGTGGCTATTGGACCTTTTTTTTTATTAAACAATTTAAAAAGAAAGAAAAAGCATTGACAAGCATCTGATGAAGGCCGGAAGATACAACGGCCGAATATTTTTTCTGAAGGATGACACACTGTATGAAAAGCGTTCAAACATCAAAAAAGAAAAAAAAAGAAAGAAAAAAGATAGAATAAATAGCCTCTCGGCTGCCAGATTGTTGCACTAACTATTGAGCTAAACCTTCTCTTACTTCTGGTAAATGCATCGGGAGTTAGTTCTTTGTTTCAGGGGAGGGGGCAGTTCGGTGTCAGTAGGGTTAATAAGATTATGACTAATATCAGTTCAGGAGCAGATTTCAGCTGAGAAAACACTTCTACGGGTGCCGGGGAGAGAGGTTGTGGAAATGGTTTCCCAAAAGCCTGCAGGGACGAAGTCGAATCGTTACAGAAGTTAAAATTCGGGAGCTGAAGGCGAGTGTGGGTGGCAGTGGTGGCCGAATTACTGTGACTAAATACGGAAGTATTCAATGACAGACAGATTAAAAGCAAACCAACTGTTCCCCTGTTTGGCTGACGAGCCCGAGTTTCAGATAAATGTTGAGGTGGTGGGTGATCTGTTTAGTAATGGACTCTGGGGAGGGGTGCTTACAGAGGGGGGGGGGGGGCTGAGGAATGTGAAAAGAAAAGAAAGAAAAAAAAGGCAGTTTTATTTTTGTATTTTAATTTTTGGCAGAGGTGGTTGAATGTTTGAAAAGGAAATGAAGAAACCTAAGAAGAAGCGACATGTGTCTCCTGATAAAAAAAAAAAAAAATGCTTTCACCAAGTAATCGTCTTCTCCGCCCCCCCCCCCAACTCCCACCGCCTGTTACGGTGATGATGATGGTTGGTGGGGTTTGAAGCTTAGATCAGAGGACAGGTTACAGAGAGGGTACAGACCCTAATTTTCTTCTAAACATGTAAATAAAATAAATGGTACTTGTTAACTGTCGTAGTCCCCCAAAAAAGGAATGTGCTGCCATCAAGCAGGGTGAATTAGTTAGTTAGTTGTTTTATTGTTAGTTTTTTTTGTTTTGTTTTGTTTCTATACTAACCATAGATATTGCTATTGTATTTAAAACCTACTCTTTAAATTAAAACTCTACTGCTTTGACTACCGTGTAAAAGGTAGACAATGACCTAAATTAAAAAAAAAATTGATCAATTAGAATTGATGCAATCTCGTCACAATATTTTGACAAGTACACCTTGGGCCTCATTGAACAAGCGAATCCTCGTTCAATTGTTCGGCATTAAACAACCCAATCGATTGATATACAATTAAACAAACAAAACCTCATAATTTAGTCATTACTTTTTACACCGTCAATTGTCATTAGCTTTAAAAGAAAAAATGTTTTGGTAAAAAATAAAAAATCGTTTGACTTCCCGGGTCAAAAGTTCTGGAAGACGACGACTTTAAAAAAACAATTGATAAAAATGGAATAAAATTAATTGACTAAAATAGTGTTGCAATCTCATCACAATATTTTGATAAGTATACCTCGGGCCTCATTGAACAAACGAATCCTCGTAATTGTTCGGCATTAAATACTAGTTTTTTTTGTTTTTTTTTATACCGTCAATTATCATTAGCTTTAAAAGAAAAAAAAATAATGGTTTGAATTGCCTGGTCAAAAGTTCTAGAGGAAGACGACGACTTTAATAAAACAGTTGATAAAATGGAATAAGCCTAATTGACTAAAATAGCGTTGCAATCTCATCACAATATTTTGACAAATACACCCCAAGCCTCGTTAAACAATCTGATCGCCATATAATAGAACTATTCTTACTTCATTTAACGTTAATTGTAACTAGATTGCATATAATTACTTATTTAAAGCGGGTCTAACACAATAATGAGTGATGTTATCTTATTTAAATTATTAGTTTTTATTCTGAGCTTTTATTTGAATTCATTATTCGCTATCGTAATTATCACGATTATATTGGCTTACAAAAAGAAATCACTCGTATGTGAAGCAATTGGGAGACTTTTGTAACTTAAAATGATTCTGTTTATCCTTATAAGAATTATAAAATCAAAACAATACATTTGTTTTTCATATATCTATATATTGTCGGAATTGCCACCATCTTGTCTACCAAGGCGTTCGCTTGGTGGCACTGTTCAGGACTACAAAAGAACGGAACAATAAGCTCTCCTCTTCTTTTTTTTTTGTTCCGGAATATACCGTAATTTCTCGAAAATAATATGCATCCTAATAATACGCACCCCAATAAATGATGCAAAAATTAAGAAGTATATCTATCTCTATGTATAATACGCATTTATAAATTTTGTCAAAAAAAAAAAAAAAAAAAAATTACGAAAACATTTTGCGACCTTGGCATTAAGAATAAAATCAAAACAAAGCGACAAAAATAATGTTGAAAATTACCAACGGTTTTTTACCAATGAATATAAGATTTTTATTTCACCGCAAAAATATCGTCAAAACATGCGAGTTATTGTGCAAATTTTAAACAAAAAGTAATAGAATTAGCAGAAAGAATAGGAAACAGATAGAGAATATGATTTGAATGAAGCTAACATACGTTTATAGAGAACGAATAAAAATGAACTAAAAAAAAAAAATGTAAATCAAGTGCAAAGGCTATAGGTAGAGGAAGAAAAGCTCAATATCCAAATATGGAACAAAGTTTAGTTGAATTTGTGAATGAAAGACGATCAAGTAGATGTTCCATAAGTACTGTGGAAATAATGATGAAGGCAAAAGAATTTATGAAAACCGTGTATCCTGGAAAGACATTTAATGACGATGAAAATTAACATTTCAATAAATTAACTTAATATCCTTTTTTTTTTCGAAATTGGCCTTTTTATAATTATTTTTTATTTTTTCGCCAAATAAAATTGCAGTTACTGATAAACATACAGTGAAACCCGGATATAAGAGAGTTGTCGGAACCGGAGAAGAAGTCTCTTATATCCGGGTTTGGTCTATTTTATATACATTAACCCAGGCTCTAATTTGGGACCAGAGAAAATATCTCTTATATCCGGGTCTCTTATATCCGGGTTACACTGTAATTTATTGACAAAACATGTTACAATTATTATTATTGGATTTAAAATGAAAATTGGGATAATATCTTATTTTAAAACAAGTACGTATTTCTTATTATAAATTTTTAAATCAATAACGGAAAAAATATTTTTGTTTAAACCTATTTATAATACTCATCCTACTATCACCTGTAATTTACAGTAAGAAAAAAATGCGTATTATTTTCGAGAAATTACGGTAGTAGAGAAAATAAGATTTGTTTCCACTGGGGGGGGGACTGCTTCCTACGGGATACTGTCTTCGGAATTTCAGCTAGCCACATCACACACACATTTTCGAACAGCAAATCCTAGACATGTTTTTCTTTTCTTTTTCAGCGATCTGTACGCAAGTATTTCTTCTCTCTTCTTGAAATGTTATTCTTTTTTTTTTTAAACAATTTACATTGTCAGAGTTAGCTCCTCCTTAATTCCCTAATCGCTCACTAGGGTTCGCTCTCCCTACACTATAAATACTGGGCGATTTCTTGCCTTGTTCTCTTTTTCATTTCAGCGAACACATCTACAATGTAAGCTCGCGCAGAAGATTGCGTCTTCCCATTTGTGGGAGACGCCATGAACATTATACACACATACACGTACGTACAAACATTCACCAAAATACAAACTCTTTACGTTCACACACAAACACAAATGTTAATGTCTATGTCCATTGTAAACTTTGTTGTTTAATACATATATTTGTTTATGTATATATATATATATATATCGGCCATGTTTGTTTTCTTTTCATCTTCGGTTGGACTCAACATGAGTCCGCCATGTTCTTGTAGTTTGATCTTCTTCTAGCAGGAAATAAAAAGCACGTGTCCCTAATTCAACAAACCCACACGGTCTTTACATACTCATTACGGTGAGTAACTGTTGTTCTGTAAAAAAATACCTTTTTGAGTTCATATAAACCATTATTTATATTGCTTGAGGTTTCTCCTATGTATTCCTTGTGGCAATCATTGAGGGCGATTGAGTAATTTCTTCTTTCAAGTGGAATCATATAAACATAAATATCACTTTAGTTCGATGACGTTCCAAAGGAGGAAACTTCATCCACGTATTGAATTGGATTCTTTTTTAAAATGTTGAATTCAATTTCTTTGAAAGTTCTGAACCTCAGGCTCGTTCATTGCAATCAATTCGTACCACCTTGCCACAATATTCGTCACAATTTGTCCCAAACAGAAATTGAAAAAAGAGGAATTAGTAAGCAAGGATGAATAAAAAGAAGTCTCTCTCAAAGTCTAAGTAGCAACAACTCACCTTAGCAAAGGTTTGTGATATGTCCTTCTGAATGAGGTGGCCCATATCTATGCACTTATTGTACACATCTCTGCTGTCCGGCATCCTTTATATGATGTGACCCATATCTATGTTCATGTTCACCCAGTCTGATGCTTGGAATCCTCCATTTTTTTGTATTGTTGCCTATACCAATGGTCTCCTCGACCGTCCCCTTGCTGCCTAGCCTCCTCTGGACGCTGTTGCCTATACCAATGGTCTCCGTGCCCGTCCCCCTGCTGCCTAGCCCTCTCTGGACGCTGTTGCCTATACCAATGGTCTCCTTGCCCGTCCCCCTGCTGCCTAGCCCTCTCTGGACGCTGTTGCCTATACCAATGGTCTCCTTGCCCGTCCCCCTGCTGCCTAGCCCTCTCTGTTGACTATATCAATGGTCTCTTTGCCCGTCCCCCTGCTGCCTCGCCTCTTCTGGACGCTGTTGCCTATACCAAAGGACTCCTTATCCCCCCCCTGCTGCCCAGCCTCTTCTGGATGCTGTTGCCTATACCAATGGTCTCCTTGTCCGTCCCCCTGCTGTCCGGCCCTCTCTGGACGCTGTTGACTATATCAATGGTCTTCTTGATCGTCCCCCTGCTGCTAGCTTCCTCTGGACGCTGTTGCCTATACCAATGGTCTACTTGCCCGTCACCCTGTTGTCTAGCCTCTTCTGGGCGCTGTTGCCTATACCAATGGTCTCCTTGCTCGTCCCCATGCTGCCCGGCCCTCTCTGGACGCTGTTGTCTACATCAATGGTTCTCTTATTCACTCCTCTGTTGTCCGGCCATCGTTAGTTTCTGTTGCCGATATCTGTGATATCTTGTTAACTATGATACTGCCCATCTTCCTGTGTATACTGCTGCTCATATCGATGTTTTACCGTACTTGTTGCCCATGTTGCCCATGTTGCCGACCGTGCTGCTGCCCAGCATCCACTATGTATCGTCAGGAAAATGCCCCAAACAGACAGTGATTGGTCAGGTCGAGGGAAAACGCAATAGCACTTAAATTGTGAAATATATTTTGCAGTTTTTTGCGGCGTATGACAGTTTGATAACATGAAACGTAATTTAAAAAAAAAAAAGAATTTCCTCTCCTTTTATACAACTTCAGGAATCACGTGCTAACCCTGTCACGTGACCATTGTAACTATAAAATGTCAGTAAAGATAAAACTAAGCCTTTGGTTTAGTAAGGATTTTGTTATGATCCAAAATGATGATGATGATGATGATATTTAATCATTCTAAAAATAACCTTGCCATCTGTGATGATAGAAAAGAAGGATATATCATCATCCTAACCCTCGTGATTATAGAACAACTTTCCTACCATGTGGAGGGACCAGTAGACAAGTAGTGAGTAGACAAATAGCATTACAGAAACACGTTTAGCCAGCACACCGATGAAGATCGAAAACAGACGATTTCCAAACGCCATCCTCACAAATGAAATTCTCGGAACCAAAACAAGTAAGCACTGACTTTTAAGCAAAAGAGACACTGAGAATATTCTATAATTTACATCACAAAAAGAAAATACAAATTTTTGGGCCACTAGCGGTCCCATAAAAAAGTTTATGAAAAAAAAAAAAAAAATGAGAGAGAGAGAAACAATTAGCCGCGTAAAAAAACATGATATTGGTTTTTATCATGTATGCAAAATTTCATCAATATTGGAGTGGGAGATGACATTAAATGACATACCTGTGAACGCCTTTGTCACAGTTTTCATGTGCGTACAGGTCGAGAACTCAGATTTGCTCGCTTTCGCAGTGGCATCGCGATCTTTTAGGTCAAAGGTATTATGTCACTTCTGTTCTTCCGTACAATAACTTCCTCTGACGTAAGCTGTCAATACATTGATGAATTCACCATTCTCACCGCAAAATGACAACCACCAGACGAGAATTGAAAGGAATGTCAAAGTCACTTCAAGGAAAAAGTCTTCGGCTGGAGTAATTGTTCTTTTCTTCGCAATTACCACGAACTTTGCTTTGAAATTTGTACCAATTCAGAGGAGTATTTTCTTCCTCTTTACATTTTGTATGTAGTTAATATTTTTTGGTGGGAATTCTTTTTTGGGGTGGGGGCGGGGCGATTACAGATTTATTTTTAACGAAATAACCTTCGTATCGTCAGACCAAGTCACCTGAATGTATAAACTCAAACAAATATCCCCATTTGTCGGTTATTTTACGATTTATAAAAGTATTATTTTGATCCCTGTGTTAATTTTACGTGGATGTACTTTTGTAACCATGGTAATGAACAGTCGGCTATGAAGAAAGACTATGCAGAATTAGGGGGTCAAATAAAGATTATTTTAACGAAACGACCTTTGATTCAGTTAGATTGTGTCCGCCAAATGTGGAAAATCGAACAAAGTCCGATTTATGTTGGGTTTGTATGGACATTGGGACCATGTTAAGTTTCCAATAGAAATTTCTACGTAGATAAGCTTAGCTGATCGTGCCAGTCGCTAAAAACATTTTCTAAAACTAGTGACATTCAGAATATTTCATAGTTAAGATTTCCTAGTTTCTTTTCAACCCCAATTTCTAAGAAATCCTAAATTTATTTTTCAAGAAATCGCGTCAAATTATATTATTGTAATGTAAACTTTTTACACTTGTAGTGAAAAGTTTGGTGGTTACCATTTATTTAATGGCGTTGACGGCCCAAATCAATCCATACAATTTTTTTTACTCTACAATATGTTAAGCAAAAATGCAAAAACAAGAAACATTTTTTGATAAAAGACAAAAGGTAAATATTTGAATAACAAATAATTTTCAATACATTTTTGTAATGAAAATATTTTACAAAAATGTAGTGGATTTTTTTTAGGTGAAATCTTGTTAGTTTAATTTATGTTGAACTCAAGTTTGGTGAAAGATTAAATTTTGTTAATGAGTTCTGATTTGAAAGGATGTTTGTTAGAATCTGTTATTGAAGATTCTGTAAATTATTTGCAAGAGAAAAATTTACGTTTTAGAATTTACTGTTCATGTAAGTAGTAAATGTTTGTAAAGTTGAATGCAATTTTGTGATCAAAGAAGTTATCTACTTTTGATTGTTTTGTGTACTGTAACATAATGTTCTCGAATGTCGAGAAATAAAGTTGATATGTTAGCAGGAATTTGTTTAACTTCTGCGTAAGGAATTTGGTGAGTGAATGAGAATAAAGTTCACTGGTGAATGAATGTGAATATTGTTAAGCTTGTATAATGTTCGTATGAACGAAAAACTTAAGATTGTGTGATGTGAAGTTTAGCTGCAATTCATTTGATGTCATAATGCTCACTGGAGATTGCGAATGAGTTTGTTTTTATTTGCTTCAGGTGCTTCACAGAGACTTGGCATGAACTTGGATTTCAGTCACGAGCTGTAAAAATTAGTTAAGCGTGGGTGTATAGTCATGCATACTTGTATATTTATTAACCAATGAAGGCTCGAGATTTTTTTGAAAGTGCATGAAGTTGAATGTGTTCTGTGATCCACTTTTTGCACAGATTTAACCAAACTATTTTTAGGTATTGGAATAAATATTGAAAATATTATATAGATAAATGAATTGCCTCCCTTTGTAGGGGTCGTTATCACCGGACCGTGGGTTAGGCTGAAAGCAGCCTATCACGGCCTCTTTTTACCTGTGCCACCGATGAGTCAATCCGGACTAATTTAACTCCGTAAAACTCAACCAGCAGCCACATGGTATCCAAAAATGGAGCGGCCAAGAATACAACATAGGAACGAGGATTTCCCAATAGTTGCAGTAAAGCATCCGAAAACTGAATCCCTCTTCAACCTGAAGACGAATATATTCCGACATTGCAACAAAACTTAGAATTGTTAACCGAACGAATTTTACTGCCACCAGTTAAGTCCTCGCAAAAACCACTATTTTTTTTTTTTTTTGCAACGATTTTTAAACCCAATTTTCTATCTTCCCTTCTTTTCTTCCTGATATAAAGCCTTTCTTTTTTTCACTAAAATTTCGTATTGTCCTGTTTTCTCTCGCCGTGTCGCGTCAATGCTCTTTTTACCCTTATTTTCTACACAGGACAAATTGTTGATCACATAATTTCAAAGGTTATAAAAACCCGCATATAATGTAGAATTTGGGTTCTACACACTGTAGTAAACAAACCACAGAGATCGTATTCAAAGAAATAGAAGAAATTATATTCTTTCAATGTAAATTGTTTTACACTGTAAATACATCACGGAGAACGTATTCAAAGAAAGATTATGCCAAAAATGTGATAAATAAAGATTTTATTTAGAAAATAACCTGCGATTCTTTCAGAAGTTGTCCCCTAGATTTCAAAAATCAAACAAAGATCCATATCTGTGTCTTAATTTCTAAAAAGTTCACAAGACGAATTGTTTCACTTGCTTAAACACAGTCATAAACATGTAAATTAAACGTTTCGCTTAAGGCCCGGCTGCGACCTGCGACCCAGGGGCCTTAGCGGTCCCATTATAGATTTTACAAAAAAAAAAAAAAAAAAACAATTAGCGAAGTAGCAAACTGGATGTTAGTTTAGTATGCAAAGTTTCATCAACATTGGTTCACAGGCTAAGTTGGCAACTTCATTCAGACAGCCAGAAATTCGCATTTATATGAATTACACATAAATGAAATTCAATTGTACCCCAGTTAGATGGCCATTTCGTTCCTAGAGAAATGGATCTCCTCGACATTCAATATTCTTGTTAATTCTTGAGAGCCCTAATATTTTCTTGAGTCTGAAAAATTGTATTTCAATCTTTATCTAAATTTATTTTTAATGCTTAAATGATAAGATAAATATGTATACATGTCTTCATCTGGCCATTATTTGTTTTTTCTTATTTGATTTGGTGTCATAAATCGCATGTTAATTGTAGGCTGCATTTGTAATTAAATTTTTATTTTTTCTTTGAATTTTTATGAATATGCTTCCATTCTTGTGCACACATATTATATATATATATATATATATATATATATATATATATATTATACACACACACACACACGCATAAATGTACACGCGACATGTATCTGTGCTTTGTTAATATATTAATTAGTGCTTAATTACTGAAGTGAATATGTTTTTCCAAATATTAATTATGGCTGGTTATGTTTATTGAGTATTTTCTGTTTGAATATATGTATAGAAGATAAATAATGTGTGTGTGTTTATAAAGATAAAAGACAGTAGGAAACCTGTAATGTTAGCTGACATGTTTTGTCCAATATGGAGTTTTTCAAGGCAAAGACGAAATGAATTTATTAAAACAAGGTAACTAATAATAACAAAACGAAATGTCCTTAGCAACTAGAATTTACAAAATGCTATTATATTCATATTGTCAACTGTATATTTAAAATTTATCTTTATTTGTTTTATGTTTATATTTATTTAAATTAATGCTTAGAAGGCTATATATATATATATATATATATATATATATATATATATATATATATATATATATCATTGGCGTTCATTTGCATTAATCTCGTTAAAACCTTGGTGTATAGATAAAAAGTGTGTTCCCTATTAGACTGGACCGTGAATTTGGGAACATTAGGGAGATTTTCCTTAGTAACGGCTATCCGGAGGCCCTTATTGACTATATTATTAGTAAGAAAACTAAGGAAATTTATTCCCCAAAATCCAGGGCCTTCTAAATGTCCGGTTTATTTGAAGATTCCCTGGATTGGGGATAGTGGTCAGGGCTTAATTAATTAAAACAGGTTAGCAAGTTATTTCCGGTTGTTTCCCATCAGTTGCTTTACGTAGCATTTTTTCAAACTAGGTCTGCGTTTCCGTCTTTTCGCAAATCATATTGCCCTACATCAAATTGAGTAATTTAGTATATGAATTTAATTGCCAGTGTGCTGCTGGTTTTAGTGGGGCGTACAACCTTGCATTTGAAACTAGAATTAATCAGCATTCCTTCCAAAATACGACTTGGTA